CACCGGTGTGGACCCAGCAGGGAAAGGCTCCTAGCTGGGCAGCCCTAAGGCTTGGTGTGGAGGGAAAGCAGCCCCTTCCCCACTGCCCTGAGGTGGTTCTGTCCACGAGGGTCCCGGTGTGAGCAAGAGCAGCTGCTGCAGGTGGGAGCTGTGGGTTCACTGCTCTCCTGATGCTGGTCTTGGTGCCACCGTGGTTGTCTTTGCCAAAACCCCTGTTCTGTGGTCTGCGATGTGGTTATAGAATGTAGCTTTTTGTGCATCTTTTGCTCCCCGAGTTTTGGTGGTGGCTTGTCCTGTTCCTTCTCCTGAACCTCCATGGTTCCATTAAAATTTGTAGGAGCTTGTTAAATGATTAAGTTGGAATGGAAAAATGAGGTTCTGGTGCTGTGCCTTTCAGAATTACTCATCCTAAAGAGAAAACTCACCTTTATAAGGTTATTTGGCTGTACAAGATCTTCCAAGCTTGTGTGGTCACCTCTTGTTCACTGTTCATTGCAAAGCCTCGGGAGGACTCTTGCAGGGACCCTAAATCAGAATTTAAACCTAGTTTAAGATACTGACCTCCACAGCCTTGACAAATGAAGGGTCAGTATTTGCAATGCGTTTTTTGGTACCTGTGGACCAACCTGTCTGTTCTATCATGATATATTTGTGATTCTTACAGGCCCTTAAAAAATGAACAAGCACAAAAATGGGTGTATCAAATGTCTGTCAAGATTTCTCTTTGAGTTTCAGTGGGAATAGAGACCATACTGAACTTAAGTTTTCCTCTGTATATTTTTAATAATTCAGTTATTTTTTTTCTTTTAGTTCAGTTAGAAGATGAGATGCTAATGAATCACCAACTGATTTTACAAGAGGATTCTTTGCTGCTTTTGTGGCCACAATAAAATAATTGGCAGACTCGAGCCTTCTAATGCCTTCATTTCTAGGAAAAATAATACAAGAGGGTGTATTGCTCTAGTCAGTCCTTAAATGGGAAACTTATCTCCTGAATTGAGATGGGTTTTGGCACTTTGCTACATGTGTGAAACCAGACAGCTTTATTACCTTGGCTAGAGAACGAGATATCGATGTCATTGTTATTAATATTATCTGATGGAATAATCGGCAATTTGCTTTTAGAGAGAAATGGGTCTGTGGTGTGTCTTCTTACTCCTACCCTGCACAGAAAATCCCTGGATGAGCATTGCCAGGGTAATTTTCTTTGCAGTCAGTAGCCACTCCGAGTGTGTTCCTGACCACCTGCAGCTGCTTACAGCTGGGTAAACTGAATTCTAATCGCCTTTTAAGTGTAGCTAATTACAGGGGCTGCTTTTGTATGGTGAATTTTGTTTGGACTTAAACACGAAGTGGGGCCTATTTGTCACTTTTATTTCCTGCTAGTAAAACACACCGAAGTTATGGTGTAGCCCTGAGATGTCTCTCTGTCTCAGTCCTCACTTCTTTTAAGGTGCAGATAGTCCATTTGTTCTCTGGGGTAATTCAGAGAAGCAGCTATTCTGCAGGAGCCAGCTTAAGTGTGGTTTTCATAGGCAGGTAGTTTTGTCTTTTGAATTTTAAGAGTGATTTAATTCAGAGGAGAGATGCAGGGGGTGGGAAAGGGAGGGAAAGGGAGCAGCACCATCCACTTGTAGGAAGGGGAACAATCCCTTCCAATTGACAGTTCCTTTGGGAAGAGCTGCTGGAGTAGGAAAGGATGAGAGACTAAGTGGCAGGAGGAAGCTGGAGGGGAACAGTTTGTTTTCTTACAGTAAACCCTGACTGTGCCTTCTTGAAGGCTGTGTAGGCAGCACTGTAGCACACATTGATACAGACACTTTTCCTTTTTTTGTCATCTTGTACTTTGAAATACATGTGTTCCCTATTTTCTTGTTTTATCAACTTCTCCCTCTGTCATTTATAAACCAAATTTAGGAAGGCAGGGTCACTGCCTCAAGCAGTGATACAATACACCATGATATCACAGAGGATGAAAGATTGGGGAAAAAAAGTGACATGGAGAACGTGGTCACGGATTCAGGAAGCTGAGGGCGGGAGAAAGGAGTCAGTTGGAGTGGATATTGTAGATGTTGAGCAAATGGGAGGAGAGGTGACTAAAGAAGAGCATGTGCATATGTAGAAAGTCATGAACTTGTCTCTGCCCACTCCGAGGGAGAAGATATTGTGGGAAACTTGGTTATACAAGAGTTGGGACTCAACATCCTTAGAGCGGCTCTGAGTAGGTGTCTAAGCCAAGCCCGAGTAGTCCCCAGGAATGTTAACCTGTCCCTGCGGAGCTGGGTTATCTCCTGGATTCCGTGGTAGAAATGGACTTTCACCTCACAGGTTGTGAGAATAGTTCCATCAGGCGGTCGTGCTGTCACCTCTAGTGCCTGGGCACTGTCCCTGGAGGAAAAGGACTGTGACACATTGGACACAGTAAGAAAGGACTGGCCTTGACAAGGCCTCTTCCAGCTCATTGTTGTTCTTATGATGGATATGCCATAAGGATATGGATATAGATAGATCCATTATGCACAATTGGAATAAAGACTTGAGTTGGTGTTTGGCTGAGCTCTTCTCTTTATTACATGACTAAATAAATTGAAGCCATTTTTCCTTTTGTGGAAATAAATAATCCTTGCTGTCCCAGCCCTATGTATGATTTCCATTTTTAACTTGCCAGTAAAACATAAATATTGTGGTTATATATTACCCGATTGTTACCATTCAGGCAAAATGCACCAGAGCCAGAGTTCCTTGAAACAATGTATGCGTGTGATGGATGGTGCTGCAGAGGAGGTGACACAGTGGTGACTCAGTCCTCAGTGAGGTTCAAACCCTTCCTGCTGCACTGAAAGCCTGTTCCTGCCAAGGCAACTCAGGAAATGCACCCACTCTGCCTTCTAGGAAAGCTGGGGTAATTAACTTAAGTGTGGGATAAGGCTTTTTGGAGACACATGTGATGTTCCTTTGGAACACAATAAATCATTTTCATATTAAAAGCTGGAGGAAGACCCAGAGTCATAAACCCCCTTTTGTACCAATTTTGCTGCCTTTCCACAAGGCTGGGTGGTCAGTGAGCTCAGTCCTGGGAGGATTAAACTAATAGTCCCTGCTGTTATTGCTGCAGGGAATCCCAGGTGATGGCAAACCTCCCTTACGCCGGGGAGTAAATCACATTATCTGCTTTATGCACCATTATTGTAAAGTGGGTTCTCATTTGAGACACTGCAGTGGCTTTATGGCTCCCCGAGCAGGGAGGGGGACTTTGCCCCTCGCTCAGCTTTAATATTCCCCCATTCTTCTCTTTCCAGAGAAGGGACAAAAACGAGTGTTTGGCAGCCACTGGCTTGGGTTTTTCAGTAGAATGTCCTTAGTGAGATTTGCAGAGGTTGCTGCAGATGAATTCCCCAGAGATTTTGTCTCTCTATTTTCTTGTGTAGTTGCAGCGTTGAGAGAAATTGCCATTCCTAATAGCCAAGAAAATATGGTTACTGTTGATTTTTGGGGTTTTTTGGTGGTGTTTTTCTCTGAATTTCTGAGCTTTCCTTTGAAGCACTGAGTTCACTGGGTTCAGCTTGTGTCCAAAACACTCAGACACTGAGCACAAAACAGCAGTGACTTTGCTGTTAGTGTTTTTCTCTTAGAGCACCATTCACTGCCACTCCCTGAGTGTTCGAGGAGTCACGGGTGCACGTGTGGGGTATCACACATGGGTGTTGTGATGGCTCAGGGGGTCTGATGCTGAGGGCAGGAAGGACATTTCTGCTGGATAGGAAATGAGACACTTTGCCTCCTAGAGCAGTGCTTTCCCATCCTCTGCAGCTGAATGCAGTACATGGGGAAGTTGCTGATTTAATAACACAGCTCCAGAGGAAACACCATCCCACAGGAACAGGAGGGAGGAGCTGGAGAGTGTCCTGGAGGACGAAAGGAGTTTTCAAGCGAGATTTCCAAAAGAGATGAAGAACTCTTCAGACAATGACACAAAGGTGCTTTCCAGGCATCAGGAGCTGCAGAGAAGCTTTGCTATTAATGAGATGTTCTGGATTGGATGCAAAAAGCAAAAACTAAGAGAAAAATTGGAGGTCTGTGACACCAGCAGGTCCCAGAGGGTGTTGAAAAAAGGAAGGTAAATGTGAATGGTGTAGAGACCAACCTGTTTTGTCTTGAAGGGGTGGTTGATTTACTTGCACAGCTCAGAATGAGCTAATCTTCCACTGTAGGAGATATTTCAAAGTCATGGGAGCTGAGCTGGCTCTTGGTTCACACTGTATTTGATTCACACCAGTGACACACAGGACTGTCACTGCCTCGCCACTCTGACGTACTGGAGTGATACTGGGAGATATTTATACCTGCTACCATTTCAGCTTGTGCCATCACCCAGCGTGGACTGGGAGAGGCATGCCTGCTGTTTTGGGGAGGTAGATGCTGTCTTTGCAGTTGTTGTAAATGGTTTACCATCTCACATTGGCATTGCTTTCGCTCATGTGCGTGATGCTTATGAGGTTGGATGAAAACATTGGGGTGCTGATAGATTTGTTGAAGATTATTGGGTGATGTGCCTCATAATATGACTAATCTTTCAAATTCCATCATCTCCAAGTTATTGAAATACTTGTTACGACAAAAAATGATGGACTATTAAATAATATTTGAGCCAGGCCTCTTAAATTTTATAGTGTCATTACCAGTGGATCAGAACTGAGGAGAGACAATATAGTTGTGACATACATAACACATAAATTTAACATTAGTTTAGGCAAGCTGTTTAGGTTATTGTTTGAGTAATCTCTACATGGATTATCATTACAAAATGTAGCCTAATTTCTCCATGTTGGGAAAAAGATGAGTATATCCAATCACAGCTCCTTTTATCTTTAATTATCTTTTTTTCTTGTAGGATTTCTGCAATTCAGTTTCAAATTGCTGTACAAATTCATATGGTAAGCCTTTGGACATAGCAGAGCTTCACATTGAGGTGCTCGTCCTGGTGTTTGTTTAGCTTGTCTGAAAATGTCTCATGCGGGTGAGATATGGTGAGAAAAATCAACAATTGCAAAGGATAATCTGTGGGCAAACAGTGCAGAGAGTGCTCCCTGCATGCCAACAGTTTGGCAATGCTTATGTCCCAAGTTCCATGTTTATTTCTGCTGAAAAACCACCAAAACTGAGAGGAACTCACAGGGAAGTGGTTAAAGTCTCAGGGTGCTGTGGTTGTCGGTGTCAGAGCTGTAATGGGTATTGAAAGGAGGTTTTAGAGGAAGAAATTAGATCCTGCAGGATTAACAGGAGCAGTTAGTTACTCCTATGGAGGAGTAGTGAGCAAAGTTAGTTTGGTCTTTGTCATCAGTGTTAGAAAACTCCCTCAGGTGTTGGTGTTTCGAGGCAGTTCTGTGGCAGTGACTTGGGGCCACATCATGTTTTCCAGTTCCTGCCCTTGGGCTTGTTTCACAGCTAAATATCAACACTTGCTCCTGCCTCCTGTGCTCTTTGTTACCAGTCCTTGGGACCTCTCTGGGACACAGCCTGTGTCCTGCACTCCTCTCTCAACACATCTGTGTTTCCAGGGAAATGTGCTTCTCAGTGTATCTTGGTGATTATAGAAATGCTGATAGAATTCATGGAGATCCGAGCTTTGGTAGGAATGCACACCAGAGGCAGATCTAGGATGTATTTGGAAGTACAGAAGTTGAAAGTATCAGCAAATCCTGCAGCTCCTGATATTGTCCCTTATTGGTGCACAGTTGGCTGAGCTGTTTATTATTTTCATTTCTGTGAAGAACAGCAATAACAGGACCGTTTATAGAAACTGCACCACCAAGCCCCTGAAGTTGGCTCAGCCTTGCTTTTTTTTTCCCCAAGATTTGACATGAGTGCTAACTTCAGAACCACAAAATGACTGTCTTCTGTACTATTTTTTTCCAGAGATGAATCTTAATGCCCCGTTTTGTCTTTTAAAGGCCCTGCCTAAACTCTTTGGTCTCCTTTGTACTAAAGTTGTAAGGTATTTGTGCCAAATTGAGTCTGCAGGAGTGAGTCAGCATCTTCCCTCAGCCCTTCAGTGTCTGCTGGTGGGGAAGGTCAGCCAAAAATTCTGCTACTTGTTGCACCATGTGGAATTAGCTAGAACTGTGCCTTTCCCTTAATTCAATCACTGGTTAATTTAATTATATTCTTTTTAACAGGTTAATTTTTTTTTTTTTTTAAATCGAGCCACCCAAAATTGAAACTTATAGTGTTTATTTTTCTAAGCAATTAGGTAATTGATTAAACTACTAGCTATTGTTAGTGCAGTTATCTGGATTGGCTCTTGATTAATACTGACAGTTAAGGAAAAGAGCTGTTCGGGATAAACCAACCAAAGACTATCAACAGGATGGGTGTTAAAGTTTACATAAAAATTTCTCAGAGTGTGTTAGTGACATAAATGCTGTCACGTGTCACACAGTGGTGATCAAATGAGCGCTGGAGGTCAGTGAATGAGGTAGGATTAGGTATGAGAAAATCCCTGATTTAATCCTTAATAACATGACAAGTAGCTGGATAAAAGGTGCTGTGTAGGGATGGATGATATTTATTTATAGATCAGAGCTTGTGTGTTCTGGGACATATATTTATCTAATAATATTTATCTGAAAGACATGATATTTATCTAATAATATTTATCTGTGAATGATCCTGGCTTTCACACTTGCAGAGCAAGGCTGGTGTTTATCACTCCTAATTGTTTGCTGCAGTTAATTTGCTGGTACTAATGAGATCCTGAGCTCAAGCGTTGCACTCAGGTACATGGATTTGGTTTTAAATTTTTCTCCTCAGTGCTTTTTGGGGATGTTTTGTATTGAGCAATGTTGATGGAGATAAGATTTCTGTCCCTTTATTCCCGTTTTTTCCCCTCTACCACACAGTTTAGTGGCGTTACTGTGAGTCTTCCCTCTCCTGTTGATTTCTCCCTGGCCAGGACTGGTGGAACAGTCAGTGCTCGGGTCTGCATAGCTCAGTCCTTGCTGGCAAAATTCGCAGGAGGCAGAAAGTGCCTGCTGCTTTTTCTACCCCTCTTATCTATTTTTCAGTTTGTCAATGACAAGCCAAATGCTAACATTTATAGGGATAAATTATGACTAAAATAATTTGCATTTAAAATGCAAATGAATGAAAGCATCAGCAAGGAGCCTTCTGCTTCCCTCTCGGAGCACAGGCTGGTACTGGCATTGGATCAGTCCAGAGAGGCACTGGGTATAAAATAAACTTAACTGGAGGAGCTGAGAAATTAAATGGGCTCAGCCTCATGCTGATTCCTGTGATTTAATAAGACATTAGAGGGGAAGGATTGGGAGGGTGCTGAACCACTGACTAAACCAATCACCAGAGCTGTAAATTACCCTGCTGGGATCCCAAGGCAGATTGAGAGGCCCCAATAAAACTGTGAGAGGTGAATAAAATCAAGCTTGGAAGCAGTTTGTCGGGATCTTGGGGCTCATGTGAATTAGAGCTTGAGTTTCATTGTTCTTTTTTAGAAGTTGGCTGTTGTAACTCTGCCTTGTACTACCCAGGACTGTGGTTTTGTCCAAGGTGAAAGCTACCTGTTCATGGAAAGCCCTTTTGTGCTCCCCCAAAACCTCTTTCAGGCAAACTGGTCATGCATCTCTGAACGTAGTGGTTTCCTGTTGGAAGCCTAGGGTCCGTTTTTTGCATTATTTATTGATTTCTAGGCCTGTAGGTGCCAGAAGGACAATGTGGAGAATGTGTCGTGGTCTGCCTGTGGCCAAGGAAAGATGTGCAGGAAGAATTCAGTGTAATGTTTCAGTGCTGCTGTAGCAATGGTAAACTTGTTTCTTCAATGGGACATGGAAAGTGTTGTACAGCACGACTTGACCATGGTAAATGAAATAAGATTTCTCTTCCTTTATTCCCCTAACTAAGGCGTTTGGGTCTAAAAGGAAGTGTTTGTAAAGCCAGGCCTGCTTTACTCTGTGTGGTACAGAAGTGTGGTAGCCAATGATAGTAATTACCTCACACTGGTTTTAACATTTCTGCCCTCTGCGTTTTTACAGCCATGTTGCTGAAGATCACCTTGTCTTCTGGAAGCAGAAACACAGTGAACAGATGAATCCCTCCAGCCAGACATTCCTCCAGTAGATCCCTCTCCTCATGGAACACCCCAGCAGGGAGGAGATGGACTTGAAAGAGGAAGGTTCCCAGGTGTGGGCTGAGTCTGCAGCACAGGAACAGAGCACTGCTCAGGTGATTAGTGCTTTTCAGAGCTCATTCTGCTCAGGATGGATTGGGATTGATGTGGAGGTTTAGTTCCCATCCAACCCTGGCTTAGAGTCTGGAAGCTCAGCTTTTATTTGAGGAGAAATACAAACATGTTTGTGGTGATTTTGGATTAAAGCTTCAGAAACTGAGCTGTGCAAACCACAGCAGTGAAGACACAAAGCTCTAAAACCGAGCTGAATAAAACCAGCCAGTGGCTCTAGAAGTTTCAGTGTCCAAATATATATATATATATAACCATGTGGGAAAGTAAAAGGGTGCTCAGAGTAATGAACATTAGCAAAATCTTTGGTCTGTGGCAGCCTGTTTGATGGCATCAGTTGAATCAGTTGGAGCTGTGGGTGGACCTTGGGGAAAGTAATGAATAATTTTTTTCCTGTCAGACATCTGGGTACTGAGGAAGGGAGAAATGTTAATTGTAGGCGACTAATGCAGTCAGATTCTGATGTGTGCAGCTCGTCCCTCTGACTCTGAGACAACGCAGCTGGGAATTTCTAAAAGGCTGTAAATTGATTTATTCTTTTAAGTATGTAATGAAGAGGGTGCTGCATGGCATTTGACACACAAGCTGAGAAATTCTACCTCTCCTGGTAATTTCTAGCTTTGAAATTTGCCAAGAAAGGCAGTTTTCAATGCTCCTGTTCCGTTCTCTCTGCAAGGGGATAACTATGCTGCTGTTTGCACACAGCAGTTTTAAGGCTTAATTAGCATTTGCAGAGTGCTCTCCAAATGTGAAACTGTAGTGTTTGTTTGAGGATTTATTGTACAGAGTCAGCACTGAGCAGCCACGGGGGAGTACCAGGTGTCTCCTGCAGCATAAGCTGAAAGGTGAAACAAAATAAACAAAACATGTAACTGTGGCATCATTTTATGTGAAAGTGTTTGATGTGAATATGAATACAGATACTCAAACTAGGTTTCCTGCTAACTGTCCTATTTTCCTATACACTGGAAAAGGTTTTCAGCATATAAAGGATGTCAAAAGCTAAATGTGTTCCTATTTCCACTGGAATTCAGTATTCTGACTTGTCTAATGTAGGCCACTCATCATCATTTATGATCATAATGTTCTGTCAAAATCAACTTGTTTGGATTTAAACTGCTGCCCTAGACATAACTTGTTCCAGTAGTCCTTGGAATCATTGCTTAATGCTTTCAGTTACATTTGTCTGTTTAAATAGCTGAATTTTCTCCTGATACTGCATGTACATACTAGAGAGAAGCAATCTCACGTGCCCTACTGCTGCCTCTGAGAGGTGCAGTACTATAACTTGAAGTAATATCAGAGTTAATAAGTTCTGTTAGCCCTTCGTAAGATAAAAGAAATTATCTGCAACTACAGAACTAGCTGAATGAAGTCATTATCATAAATCCAGAAAGGAACATGAGCATGAAGGGAAACAACATACCAATAAATTCCATACATACACCAGTTCAAATATGAACTTCTTCTCTTAAGCTTCTCTTTTCTTCTCTTCTTCTTAGTGCAAGAACTAAGTACGGGTGGGTGCCGTTTATACCAGTTGAGTTACAATGCAGAGTAAAACTAGGAACTGGTGGGAGTTGGTGTCCAGGTTTCCATATTGCCACCATAATTCAATGAGATTTTAAATGTGTGTTACACAGTGACAATTTCAAACTGAGGTTCTCCCTGCTTCCCAAGGCAGCCTGTGTTGTCCCCCAGGCCTGCTGTGGTGTCACTCCAGGATGTGTTTTCCCCCCAGGTGCACTTTGTCCCCGAGGGGGGGGCGGTGGCGCAGATCGTGTACAGCGATGAGCAGGAGCGGGGCCCGTCCCAGCAGGTGGTTTACACGGCCGATGGCACCTCCTACACCTCGGTGGACACCTCGGAGCATACCCTCGTTTACATCCACCCCGTGGAGGCTACCCAGGCACGTGTGGTTCCCAGCCCAGCCCGGGTTTGGCACCTAGAAAACAAACCAGTCTTGTTTGGGATGAAAGCCAGTCACCAGCCAAGTGGTACGACTGGAAAATAGCAGTTTTTCCTGCCCACTGCTGAGCAGGGACTTTGTGCTGTTCATTTGTCTGATGTGCAAATGTGCTCATCAAAGGATGTGGAGGCTATGAATTGTGAAATGCTGGTTATTTCACTGAGGGTGGACGAGATTATAATTAACTCAAAGGTGTTTTCCAAAACATGGATAATCTTTCCAGAAATTCTGCCTCTGTTGTATTCAGTAAAAAGCTAAAAGCCATCTATGTGCCTTCTGGAAGAGTCCTTGTTTTGTGTAACACAGTTGTCCTAATTGATAGTTACAATAACACTTGTGTCTCTTTGCAGAGGATCTCAGTGTATTCAACCTAATTTTGTAGTCTCTCTGCAAAGTTGTTGATTTTATAGACCTTTTATATTCTTTTGCTTTTGCATAATCATATCAAATAGCTTTTATTCCCTGACAGCACGTGTTTGGATGGGGTTAATATGCTGTGCATCTGTGGCTCTGTGTGGACAGATTCAAAAGGACCAGGCTGGCTTTGTGGAGGGTGTTTTATAATGTTTTTGCTGACAGGACAGATTAGCAGAGCTGCAAAGTGCACGTACCTGACACCCCCAGCCACGCTGGCGGGGCCTCATGGCACGGTCTGTCCTGTGCGGCCCTCAGCTGTTACATAAAAACAGCTCTTACATGGTGGGATGTCCTGAGAGGATATTTTGGGAGGATATCTCCCAGGAAGTTACTGACAACCAACTCCAAAACTCTGAATACTATCATTTTGTCAAAAGATACTGTCATGCAACTGAGATTAAATTATCACAGTGCCAAAGGAAATTGTATTATGCCTTATTTTGTTGAGCCAGGCTGCTACAAGCTCAGGTTTAGGCAAAGTAGGCCAGGCTGACCTCAGTCAATCCTTAGTTTTCATCTGAGTCTTGCTTTTCCAGGCTCCCATCAGGGCTGTTCTTGCAGAATATTGGAGTTGGCGTATCTTCTATGAAATTAAACAGCATGTTGCCCTTACTAAATTTACATGTGGGATGTGCCTGATAGCTCCTCAAAAGAAAGTGTGCAGAAGTCTTGTGAATTTGCAGGAAGAAAAAGCTCACAGTTATCTTCTATCCTGCCCTTAAGTAGTTTTGGTAGAGCTTTTGAATTGAATTAGAATCCTGTAGATTCTATCAAATCAACAATTGACAAATTATTTCTGTGATTAAAAAAGATAAACCAGGTGAAACACTTTAGTTATGCAGATGAAAAGTGCCACATAGTTATGATATTAAATTTTTATGGAGCACCACCCAATTTTAATTTCTATCTGTGTAGATCCACTTAGGTAAGTTGAAGTAAAGTTCTGTGGTAAGTCACCTTGGAAGTTGGCAGAGGCTTAAATGTGGGTCATTCTTGGTGGCAGGGTAATTTTTGTGTGACTTGGGAGTAAACAACACCAGGGCTGGTTTGATAAGCCTTTTTCACTTTGTCTAGACTCTGTTTACAGATCCATCCCAAGTGGCTTATGTCCAACAGGATGCCACCACCCAGCAGGTAAGGAAGAGACACTGCTTATCTTGGACGTGAAACTGTAAGGGGAGAATTAGGGAAGGTAAAGGGACATTGTTGTGGTGCTAGAGGGTAACGACTGTCCCTGCAATTGTCCAAAACCAGTCTTCAGTTATGTCCTGTCATCCTGATCAAGGGCAAAAAGCCACTATTGCTATGGTCAGCTTGTGCATGAATGATAATGAAAGTGAAGACTGACTTTGAGTTTATTGACTTCAATTCATGCTCAACAAAAATTCTAATTTACTGCCCTAGATATAATGAAAAATCTTTCAACAGTGTCCCTTTAAATGAGTCAGCAGCAGATGTGGCTGACTTTATCTGAGCGTGTCATTCTGGAAAGGCTGGGTTTGCAGTTGTCCTCGTACAGATTCTGATCCAGATGCCTTTTAAGTCCACAAAAGGCTCTTGAGGGATAGAAAAATTGGATCAAATGCTACTTTTACTAGAAGCTTCACAGGAAATGAAGTGTAAAACCTGAGGAAGTTCAGTGAGTGGCTCCCTTACCTTACCAGGGTGTGCTGGGCTTGCCAGTGTGAGGTAGACTGGGAATAGAATAAAATGGAACCTGTGCTTATAAAGTTTTGATGATTTTCCTTTTTTTGTAGTGCCTCATGGATGCAAAGGTTTTATTGTTAACTCTTACTTATCTTTGAGGACTATATTGTGGTAACCAGGTATAGACAGCTACTTTCAGGTCTCTCTAGTTGAAATTCTCTGCTGTCATGGACTTCAAATCATTACTGCTTTAATGGCATGTGTGAATGGACGTTTTGGATCTGAATCATCACTCAAGTCATCATTAAAATGGGTGTTTACTGACAGTCTTGGGGCAGAGGGAAGGGTTGAATATGTGCTGAAAACAAATTTTATTGCTCAAAGACTTTATAAACTGTTGAGGCACAGACAGGAAACAATGACTGACACAGTAAAGGTGTTACCTGTCTTCTGGTTCTCTGGAATATTTTGCTACATCAATTTCCCTGCATTAAGAAGCCAAAAATTCCTATTTAATTGTCTTAAAGCTTATTTAACACACATGATTAATTAAAAGTAGAGATTACTTGTGTGCAGTGCAGATGAGACTCTCACAGGAGATGTGCTGTTACCATCCCAGGTACAAGGGCGGGAGCACTTGCATGTGTCCTCAGCCTCTCCTCCCTTCCAGCACTTTCTGACATCAGTCCTGGCAGATATATTAATTTTTTGGTGGCTAGTTAGTCCCTTATTGTGGCAACTCCTGCCTCTGCAGGTGTTTTTACATCAGCATGTCACGTGGGACATCCCTGAACTGACAACAAATGATAAAATAAACAATGAAAGCTCCCCTTGTCTTTTAAAAGAAACTTTATCTTAAAAAGAAATTGAAAAGTTTTTAAAAATAATGCCTATACTCTGTGCAGTGCCTGACATGGAAACGGAAGTAAGGGTATGTTTGAAGTGTGATTAGGAGTAGGCAATGCTAATAGTAGGTACAAGCTCGTGTGACCCTCTGCTCGCTGGCAGACTGGAGCTGTGCCATGGAATAATAATGCCTTTCCTGCTGCCACTTGGCATCAGAAATGAAAATACTAGACAGCTTAGTTCAGCTGTCATCCTGGTGTCCTCTTTACCATCGCAGTGCTCCCTGAAGTCTTTTTGCTGTAGTTTTTAAGCAGTTTCATAAATTACTCTTAATACCTCTTAAAGCAATTAGATTTGGAGTTTTAAGATTGTCTCCTTGTGTTATGGATTTTCTTGTCTGCTCCTTCACTGCTGGCACAATTCACTGCACTCAGTTTTATCTGATATTTATTAAGCACTCTGCAGAGAGGCAGGGGCTTGGATTTTAGCATAAAAGCTGCTTAACAGTCAGAGGCACAAACTAGAAACCACATGATGTCAACTGTAGAGAAGGTTGAAACATCATGTGGGATTCCTGTGCAAATTCCTGTACAGATAAGCAGGAAACAAAAGATAGGAAAGGTGATTCCTGAGATCTTATTTCTGCTTAGTTTTATTGCTGAATGTGTGAGAACAGTGTGGTAATAGGCATTAATTTGGTTGTTACTGCACCAAAAAAGTACGTAAACAGAAATGTATAGTGTGACCAAATAATGTAGAGGAAAATAATGGTTGGAATCCTCTAGTTTGAGAGTTTGATCTTCCAGTGAGGTCAATACACTGTCTTGGATTCATTTTTAATGGATCCTGGATCATAAAATCACAGAATAGTTTGGATTGGAAGGGACCTTAAAGCTCATCTAATTCCAACACCCTGCCATGAGCAGGGTTTGCTTGAGAACAAGAAAGATAGGCAAAAAAGAGGAGATGTCTCTTTTCCCTCCTTTACCTTTTCCCTTAAAAAAAAAAAAAAAAAGTAAATTTGTGCGTAGAAGAGAAAAAGACCCCAAATCACTGGTTTTACCAGGAGGTAAAGAACTCCTCACATCTTTTAGTGCCGTTTGAACCCAGGCTGGGTAGGACCTTGATTTACAAATGGGTGATAGGTAATTCAGAAGTTGCAAAGTCTAGACTGAGGTTTGAAGCCTTTCCCTTTGTCCCTGGAGCTGCAGGTTCTTTCCAAGCCCATCACCCCTCTCTAAAACCCTCGAGATCATTGCAGTGCTGTAGTTTCCAGTGAGTGCAGGGCTCGAGGGAGCTGTGCATGGTGGGCAGGGCCCATGTGGAAGTGCCTGATGGAACTGTGCAGTGCTAAAATGAGTGCCTGTGATTTTAGGTAACGGTGCTCTTGCCTGCTGCTGCTCAGAGCATGAACCCCACCAACCTGTCCGTGCTCGGCAGCGTTGCCGACCCCCCCCAGCCAGTGGCTCTGGAGCAGGGGCCACAAGCAGATAGAGTAAGTGTCAGGCACCCTTTCCTTTTCCATGTCCTGATTCCATTGCTCCATCATCTCAGGGGATGGCACGTGGCTGAGTGTGAGAAACTGTAGCACAGATTTGTACTGTCTTCCATAGTCTCACCATGAAATGTGTGGGGTTTTTTTAGGAGAGATCATGTGTTTATACAGAGAAACTTGTTGTACAGATGGTTCTGTCTTGAGCAGCCACCTTAAAAATTCTCCTCTCAGCGTTGGAAAGTGAAGATAACAGAAGGTGTAACGCTGACTGTCACAGCAACATCCACTTGCCAGTGGTCTCCTTGCCAGTGTTTTCAGGCAGCTTTACTGGGGGTAGGATTTTTTGTTGTCCACCTGAGAAACCTGTGTGGATGATGAAATATGCACTGCACTTAAAATACTTAATTGGTTTTTTTAGGGAAATAAAGGGATAAACTTGAAAAATAGTGGAAGAATGCAATGGTCTCAACTGTCCTTCATGGCCCATAGTTTATATCTAGGCCCCGTGTTACCTCATCCCTTATTATCTCTGCCTGTATGCTTTGGGGATTGGTTTTAAAAGATCATGTACCAAAGTGCAGGATTTTCTCACTTGTACAAAAGAAGTTAAAATACAGCTTTAGGCTCTAGATAATTTCCACAGAGCCTGGACTCTGTTTCAACAGTTCTGTGAGGGTACAGAGCTTCCCTGATTTCAGTTTCTTCTCCTGGGAACTGAGTTCTTGGCAGGGCGGAGGCAGGGAGTGACACAGAGGTGTCCTGAGCGAGGCCTCAGCAGCAGCAACACAAAACATCCCTCAGCAGTTGTTTATCAGCAGCTTCACTTCCCCTTGTCCTTCTCTCCATTACCAAAGGTAGCAGGAAGGGTAGACTAGCAAGGACCTTCATTGCTCATCTTTATAAGTGTAGTTTTCTTCCTGAATCAGTTTTAATGGTTTGTGAATTCTTTCCCCAGGCATCGTTACCGGTGCATAACCAGGTGTTACCTCCCATGGAGGCAGTGGATGGTTCTGACCCTTTAGCACCTCTGCGGAATCAAATGGAAAGGATAGAAACAAAAGAGGAGGATGATGAGGATGAAGATGAGGATGAAGATGGGGAAGACTCTGACATGGATGAATGGGATCCGGATCCACCTCGACCCTTTGATCCCAATGATTTGTGTAAGCATTTGAAGTAGTATTTCGTGTATTGCCTGCCCTCCCCTTTTTTCTTTCTCCTCCACCAATAAATGGAGTTGAGAACAATTCCGATTTTAGCAGTAATGAGTAAACACCTTTATGTCCAGAAATGTGGACTCACATTGGGCTGCTGTACTGACAAGACAAGATTCTGTCTCGGGTAAAGTCTCTGAACTGCTTTGTTCTTCATTTTGCAGGAGGCTGCCCTCTCTAATGTTGTAAAATCTAGAGAGACTAATGTCATAATGTTCCCACAGCTGAGCCAAAGATGTTTAGAGAGAGATAAGGCTGTCTGTGATCTGCATCTGAGTGTGTGCCTGACAGTGTCCTCTCTGCCTTTGTGTGCAGGGTGTGAGGAGTGCAATAATGCACACCCCTCAGTGTGTCCCAAACACGGCCCTCTGCACCCCATCCCCAACCGGCCTGTGCTGACCCGGGCGAGGGCCAGCCTGCCCCTGGTGCTCTACATTGACAGGTTTTTGGGAGGAGTGTTCTCCAAACGGCGCATCCCGAAGCGAACACAGTTTGGGCCTGTGGAAGGGCCCCTGGTCAGACAAACCGAGCTCAAAGATTGCTACATCCATTTGAAGGTAAGGGGGGGGGGGGTGAGAGAAGAAGGGATCAGTTTGTGCCTGAGCTTTGATTTTCATGAGTTTGTCACTTTATCTTGATCGATAGACATGTTCTTTTGTTACCTCCATCAGACATGGTCATTTGTTACCTTAGTGTAACTCAGAAACGCTCAAATTGCTTTGGCTCCAAATCTGCTCTCTTATTCAGGGAGACGCACTGATCCTAGTGAATGTTCTGGCTCTATAGTGTTATGATATATAGGGTGCATAACATGGAAGGCTGTGAGTCACTCTCACATGAGCTGAAACAGCATCTGGACATAAAAACAGCAGACCCATCTGAGAATATTTTGCAGCCATTCTTTTGTCATGCTGTAACTTCAGTTCAAAATACTTTTCGTCCCTTTCCTTTCTCTCCCCCATAAGATGGAGGGGAAAGGAGAGATTTTTCTCCCCTTTCTTATACCAAGTCCTTGATGTAGGGTAAAATGGATTTGACTGACTGTTATCTATTCATTTACTGGTTTCATTATAGAAATTGGTCCTTTATTTACTGGTATTCAGGCCCACAGTTTAGGAGTACTCTGATGGGCAGTGTCTGACAAGCAAGTCGTGACTATAGGCAGATTCAGCAACCAAGAGAAGTTCAGCTGAAGAAGTGCTGCTTCCAGCTTGAGGCAATGTTATGAGTCAAGAAATGAAAGGAGAAGCGGGTCTGCCAGTAAGAAACATCTGACTGATGTTTCTGTATCCTACTAAAGCTACAGCTCATTTATAGCCACAGGGACATACTGTGCCTGACCCTTTTAATGAATGATTCTTGTCCTTGAAACTCTTGGAAGGGTCCATTATGTCTCTCTGCTTAAATCTCTGCCCATTTTTAAGTACTTCTCTGCCTGTTTCAGGATCCCTGTTAGTAAAGAGAAAAAATGAGCTATGCCTTCATTGCTCCCCTAATGTAACAGTTGCATGGGCACAGTTGTTAGTAACTCAAATTCTTTTGAACCAGGCAGTTAATTACAGTCACATGTAATTGGATTTTGCTACAGGTTTCTCTTGATAAGGGTGACAGAAAAGACAGAGACTTGCAAGAGGACCTGTGGTTTGAACTTTCCAGTGAGGCTCTATGTAACTGGATGATGTTTGTGCGTCCAGCCCAGAACCACCTGGAGCAGAACCTGGTGGCTTATCAGTATGGCCACCACATCTACTACACCACCATCAAAAACGTAGAGCCCAAGCAGGAACTCAAGGTATGACATTGCTCATGTCTCAGGGTTCTTGTTTTCTACTGATTAAATAATCTCTTAACAGTTGCTGCCTAATAACTGCTTGTCCAAGTGTCAGAAAATATTGCTCTAAGTAGTTTTAGGGCTTTTTTTTCTCTGATGGTCTGAGTCAAATGCCACTAAAGTCAGTAAGTAGTTGGCCACCAACTTAGGAATTTTAATAAGCTTTGACTCAGGTAGAAAATCAGGAAATTCAATAAAACTATGTAAATTATTTGTCTCTCACTGTCATGCTTTACACTGCATATATTTTGCTGCTGCAGTCTAATTTTTATTGCAGCAATCTTACTCTTTTTAGTTCTGAATGCCCCTTCCAGTTAGTCCTGTGTGCCCTTGACTTGTTTTTTGATGCCTTAAGTGAATATGGTCTCTCCCTTTACCTGGCTTTCCTGGAACTTTTGAAACTTTGCATGTGGAAAATTATAAAGAATATTGTGACTTCCCTGTGAGTTAGGTTTTGTTCCCTCTCAAAACGTATTCATTACTTTGAGCTCAAAGCAGCAAGGCTGACTGAGATGGCCTTCAGTTTCAACATCTAGTGGAACACTGGGGGAAACTAAAAATTTTTGATATCAGGAAATTGTTTATTGTTCTTCAAATCTCTTCTAGCGTGTAGATGTCAACAGTTTATCTGGAAGAACAATTGTTTTAAGCACACTCACTGAACCAGGGCTAAAGACTGTTTATACACTCTAAGAGTAGGAATCTCTGAAGCTGAATCACTAGAAATCTTATTAATCCATTGTAAGTGTATCCAAACATCGTTTTCTCATCAGTTTTTAAAGCAATTTGAATTCAGACTCTAAATCTGTACGGACCTGCCTGTAGAAGCATCATTTTTCTTACTCTATGTGTTAGCAGTATCTTTTGGGGTAAAATTGATTTGCTAATTGAAAGCCAATTGTCCGAGCTCAGTAATGGGGTTTCCTCTCCAAGTGGATGTAGGGGATTCATACGAATTTTGTCCAGAGATTGGACTGTAAGGATCAGTGAGTTAAAGCTGGGAAGTTCTGTATTACACGTCAGGTGAGTATTCCAGGAGCTCCAGGCTTTCCTTTTTGCCCAACCAGTGAGATTCCTACAGAGTAACACGCACCTTGAAATGCCACCCACCACTACTGTGGAAATGCCTGTGGCCCAGTGCAAGTTAAAACCTGCCTGGATTTTTCATGCTGAAAATCTGTTCATGCCTTCTCCGAGAAATTCTCTTCTAAAACTGTCCTTTTTTAATCAAACAGATTAAATGATGCAAGGATGCAAGAATTCTCAGCTAGATGTGAGCATCTGCTTTCAGGCTTTAATAAACTTTGTCTTCCTGCCTCCTGTGGTTCTAAGGCTTCCTAAAGCCCTCCTATAACAAAAGTGGGTCCATCGTGCTGCTGCCTGGCAGATCTTTGTTTTGTGAAGCAGGACTGTATTGCTGTAATCCTTTGGAAGCTGAGAAACATTTTAAATGAGTCTCTGTGGATGGTGCTGCCTACTGTCTATGTAAAGAGAGCAGGAAAGAAATGTGAAATCCCCCCAGTTAAAAGTTTTTCCATTCCTCTTGGTACCACAACTAACAGGACTCTGCTGTTACACAGTTGGGTTTGAAAAAATTAATCTTATTTCCTTTAGAGCTACTGGTAGTCTTGTGCTAGATTAACATTCATATTGGGAGGCTAGACCTTAAAACTAAATGGAAATGCTTTCTGAGCAAAGCTCTTCTATTCCTCAGCAGGAGCATATTGATCTCACCAGGCTTTACTGTTGTACGAAAGGAGCAGTAAGTTGAGGTTGAGGCAGGTGAAGTAAATGTGTTGTTTAAAACCCATTTTCAAATGAATTCCCTTTAGTTCTGATTTTAAGTGCTCTGTTACCTTTATTCCTGCTGCAGGTGTGGTATGCTGCCTCTTATGCTGAGTTTGTGAACCAGAAGATCCATGACATAACTGAGGAGGAAAGGAAGGGTAACTTGGGCTCTTCTGTTCTCTGCGTGATGGTCATTGGGTGTTGCACTTCTTATTCTAGAGTATATGGCCTGTATAGTGCTCCCAGATTTCTGCTAGGTTGGGAAAAGTTAAACCAGATCTAGATTGGGTTATTGGAACTTACTTCCACTAACTCTTCTCATGCTAATATTACAATAATTTAACCTTTTACCTCAGTTTCTGGAAAGCATTAGGTTGCTGCTGGGAGAGGTGTGTTTCTGTACTCAAGGGATAATGTTGTGTCTGTGTCATAAATTGATGTGCAGCTGCTTCAGACTGATCTCCCCTAATTTGTGCCAGAGACACCATCCTGTGCTCTTCCATACAGGGTGAATTTCAGAATCACCCTGAATGTTAAGCATCTGATAGTTCATATGAATTGTCCAAAGACATTTTTGTCTCTCTGTGATGGGCTGTGGTCATGGCACACTGCAGAGGGGATAAAAGAAAAGCCAAATGGAGCAGTGCTGGGTATTCTGCAGCCTGTCCAACCTTCAGGGGAGAGATATGGCCCACAGAGGCTTGGGGAAAAAGATGAGGTGTTTAATTGGTGAGGCTGAAATGCTGTTACTGACATTTCAAATTGAACACAGTTCTCAGGGAGCAGGAGAAGAACTGGCCCTGTTACGAGTGCAATCGGCGTTTCATGAGCTCAGAGCAGCTCCAGCAGCACCTCAACTCCCATGACGAGAAGCTGGACTTCTTCAGCAGGTACTGACAGCTTTGGCTTTGTTGCATATCACTGTGATACTTCCCCAAACTTGCAGAAAAGGGGCTTTGCCCTACAAATCTTAGGGACCAACTCAAGAGAGAACAGCTCGGCACCAGAAGGAAAGAAGGTGGCACCAGAATCTGACTGGTTAAGAGAATTTGTGAAAGAAGTAGCTTGAAGGAAATAAATACTCTATTGAAATCAGTGGGATTTTTTTTTTTCTTATTTGGCTTTTGGGATTTTTTTGCCAATGACTTAAAAAATTGTAATATTTCAATACCACAATATTGAAATACTGATATTTCTCAGATGAATGGAGATACAGGGCTTTGAGGACAAGGCTTCTAGTGCCTTGGCTCCTTGTTGGGCTGGTTAGACAGTTGATCCTATTAAAAACTGAAACTATAAACATCCATCACAGAGCATTGGTGCCTTTTTTTCCCTGAAATATAGTGAGTGGCTCTCACTTTGTTTTGCTTTTTTGTCACAAAATTGTTCCCTTCTAATTAGGACCTGACATCAATGGCTAAGTGCTTTTTGGGGAGGGATGTTGTGCTCTAGGTTTTAAATTGGTTTCCTTGTGCACTTGTTCCATGTTGCTGAAAATGCTTCCAACGCACTGTATGCTGGGGTGTTGGAAGTGGGAGAGTTGCCATGGCAGAGGACTTGCTAGAAGCCAGTGGTCCTCTCAGTCCTGTGATTACTGAAATAAATTTAATGTCTTCTGGACTTTGGTTTCTCATAAAGCACAGAATAAACAGATATCAGCCAGAAAATATTGTTTCTGCTGCCAGAATTTCTTCAGGTTTTATTATTTACTGGAGGCCATTGTTGCAGAGTTGAGTGGGTGAACAGTGATGCTGAGAAAGAATACATAAAATCAGTAGAGAATCCAAATCCATCTCTTTTTTGTCTCTAACCTGTGGCACTGTGTGTTCTGCAGAGCCAGAGGCCGAGGTCGTGGGCGAGGGAAGAGGAGGTTTGGACCAGGCAGACGCCCCGGGCGCCCTCCCAAATTCATGCGCGTGGAAGTAACCAGTGAAAATGGGGAAAAGTGTGAAGAAGGGACACAGGTATATTTTTGGAGATGGAGAGGAGGAAAAAAATATCCTGTGGGATGAAAACTCTTGACTAAAAAAAGAATTTGGGGCATTAGTGCAAACTGAGGGTGTGCTTTGGACTTAAACCTGAGTAATTCTTGTTTTCTAACTGCAATTCTCTGCAGGAGAGCACACCACTTCCCTTCCACTGTAAAATCACTTGCATTTCTACAGCAAGTTTCATCCCAGAACACTTAGCAGTGAGGTGGGTTATTGCAGCACTTTAGCAGCATCACAGAAGTAATTTAGACAGTAAAACTGTAATGGGAATTTAGGTTCCTATTTGTCCTTTCTGGAATGTGAGATCAGCCTGCTCTTATAACTGCTGCTGGTGGAATTAAATCAGTTTGAGCTATGGTTCTCTGTGATGTTTTAATATTAACAGAAGGGCCTCCTGTAGGCAGGCTTATTGCAAAATGTTCTTTTTCTTGTGGCTGTTGGTTATATTCTGTAGGGACCCAATACGATGCATTCAAGTAAAATGCTAAATTCTCTGATGCTGCCCATGCTTAGGTTACCACTAAGTCCTTTTCTGAGTGGTGTCAAAAGAGGTCGGTGCTCTGTTTTATGATTTAGCTGAAAGCTGATATCTGGAGTGGTAATTTTCCTCTGGCATCTCACTGGGTCATGGCTCTGTGCTGACTCAGAGGGAGGGAACGTGTTCTCTGCCTATAGATTCCTGCTGCAGTCCCCTAAATGCTGCATTAAGTGCAGGCTGACCCTCTCCCCAGGCTGACGTGACACCCACCAGCCCTCTTTAGACAAATACACATACTGCTGCTCCCAAACCCTTCACTCTGGAGAGACAGGGCTTGCTGGGCACAATCCCACGTTAATGGGTGTGAGTGGCCTCTGGACTGGAGGTGGCTCATGTCCTGCCAGCTTGGAGCATGGCCAGGCCTGGAGTGTCTGTGCAGTGGAGCAGGGCCACAGTGATGTCCTAAGCCTTTGGAGGTCTGCCCACTTCCCTAAAGACCAGGCACAAGTTCTGCCTGAGAACTTGAGAGTCAGGATGTGAGCACAGTCTAATGTCAGTCAGGGTGGAAACTTGTCACCTAAACCTGGGCTGGACACTTGGCTGGTGTGTTGTTCTACCAAGTGTCTCTCTGGTGAGCAGTCCCGGTTTGTAAGGGCTTCACTCCTCCTGGCACCCTGGTTTTCTTCTTCCACACCCACTTTTGTGCTTTGACAGCACCAGCCTTGAGCTGACATAATTCTGGTACTCTGCTTCCTAGCTTGTGCTTTTAAGTTTCCTTAGTTGCATTAAGTGGTGTCAAGTAAGGATCTATGTGTGATTTTTTTTCATGTAATACAGGAGAATTCCATGCCAGAGAAGTTACTGGAACTTACAGGGAAAGAATATAGATTTTTGGCATGTGCTTCCCACTCACAACACCCTCCCTTTTTATGGTAATTCAAAAAAGGAGGAAAACAGCTTTGTGTGATAAGTGTTAGTGATGTGTGCAGCTGGGTGGACAAGAGTGTGCAGAGCTGGAAACTGGATAGAAAAACACAGTGCACAGTGTAATCACCTCGTTTGTCACTCTCTAGCACTCCAGAGAGTTTGTTAGAAAGAAGACACTATTAACGACACACAATAGTGCTTCAAAGTGCGAACAGTTTCAACAAGACAGGAATCTTCTCCTTTCTCTGGTCTGCACTAGTCACTTTGGTTGTAAGATTTCTCCCAGGTCAGCCTACATCATCTTTGGTTAAAGCAGAAATAGCCCTGAGTGCAGAAGATTGGATAATGTTGATTTTCTGTGGCTGGTCAGCGGAGTCACCCACCTGCAGCGCTGCTTCCCTGGCTCTGAGCAATGTTGCTGTAGGTGAAGGTGATGTGGGAAAGCATCAGTGGACAAGGCAGGAGAACTGTAGGAGTTGGGGTATACATGTTTTGTTCATAGCTTGTGACGAAAAATGTAGAAATCCTGTTGTCTGCTGAGTGTTGTCAAAGCGTTTCTCAGTGGGTGGGGGGAATAATCACCAGTTGTATGATTTGCGGTTTCAGGACTTGCTGCATTTTTCCAGCAAGGGGCAGTTTGATGAGGCCGGACAAGCCACCCTGAACGGGCTGGAGCAGCAGGAGCAGACTCCGGTGCCACCGGAGCCGCAGCCGGCCCTGGAGCAGCAGGAACCCCCCGCGCTCCAGGTGCAGCCACAGCACGAGGGCAGCGCGGGGCCCACGCAGAGCACCATGACAGCAGATGACATGAGGAGAGCCAAGCGCATCAGGGTAAGCACTGAGGGATGGCAGAGCACAGCTCCCCCCTCCATCCGCTGTAAGCCAGGGAATGCCAGACCCACCTGCCAGGAGCAGCTGCTCTGCCTCTCACTGTCGTATCCACCTCCAAATCTAAAGCATCTCATTCCTAGCAGGTTTCTTAGCACTGAGGAAGGCAAGTCTCACGTTAAGAACCAATATCTCAAGTGTTAGTGAGAACTGGTCAGCAGTTGGAGCTGATTGAATTGCAGCACAGTAATTCTCTCAGGGAACGCAGTCGCCATCCGAGCTGGCGAGCAGGGGGGCTGCAAACAGCCGGTGGAATTGTGGTGCTGTGGCACAGACTAATGACTTGCTCACAGCACCATCTGTGTCTCTCAGAACGCTACTGCAAAGTTGTCAAAGAGGAACCACAACTACAGTTTAGATCCACTAAAATGGTGATATTTAGTGATTAAAATTCTTTTTTGGGGTAGAAAAATGTGCTTTTGAGATCAAAACCTGCACTAAGAGCTTTGCGTACCAACACCAAACACTTTGAGCCTGAGCTCTGTGTCAGCTGGGTGAGCTGTTTTTTTCTCTACTATGTGTGGGAGGGAAATGACTCGAGCAAATAATCCTTGAAGTTGTGTAACTGGGAGATGGGTTTATTTAGCTTAAAATCTTTTCCTTTTTCTTCCATGTATAAAATTTGGATTAAAGAAAGGAACAGCTGCAATGGGGGTAAGAGTTCATTTTTAGGGGATGAGAAAGGATTAGGAAAGAGTTCAGTTGTTCTGTGTAGGAAGATGTTGAGACAAATTTTGCTTGCAGTTTATAGCAATACACGTGCAAGGCCAGTGGTGGTGTTACCCCAAAAATGCACATCTTGAAGGAAGGATTTGGCTTGAGCACATTAAGACTGAACATTTTTAACCATCTAAAATGCTTGCAGTCTCCTAATGACAAGGTTCTACCAGTAATTTCATTTTCATAGATTAAAATCTTGAGAGATTTTTACTGAATGTATTGAAGGGAAGATAATAGAGTACAAAGAGAGATGCTGAGTTTTTGTCAGTAAAGAGCATGGGGAATGGACTGCTTACAGTGTGCTACAGCTTCCTCAGTAAGAAGAGAAAGTCTTGGCCATTTCCCTGAACTTTGGAACCCAAGATACGAACTTCGAATCTTCTGAAATAGTGAATATGGGAAGAAAGGTACAAAAATTCTGAAGTTACTTGTCTTGTGACTTAGCTTGAAAATTCATCACAGATGACAGCTAAGAGGGTGCAGTGGTGGTTTAGTGACACGTTTGTCCCTCAAATCTTCCTAACTTCCCATGCATCTGGCAGCTTGTGTTCAGCAGAGTTCTGGAGGTGTTTCAAGCCAGAAGCACTGGCAGAATGGCAAACGGATGGTTGCGCAGACCCTTCCATATTGCATCAGACTGTGAGCAATGAGCACTGAGTTAAGGCTAAACCAGCAAGTATTATTTTCTAAGCACTGAAAAATCACCCTCTGAACACTCACTCAGCTGAGCTATTCACAGCACCTGCTTATGCTAATGTGTACTTAATAACATAAGCAAGCAAACATTTGGATTTTAGATGTGTAGTATACATTATTCACTTCCAAAGAAAAGGTAGAAAGTCCTGACTGCTGTAATCCAGAAACTTGTGTAGCTCTACTTCTTTATTACTCATATAGGATTTAATTATCAAAAACAATCATTCTTTGGGAATTGCTTCAGCTTTTCTAAGGTTTAAGGCAGAGGGTTTTCATTCTAGCTGTAAGCAGTTATCTGTGGTGCCCCAGGATTCAAGTCCTGATAGGATCAGTTAATTTTTCAGCCTCTGCTTTATAGCCTGTGGAGTTTCCTTGGAGATCAGACCTTAACTATGGCAGTTGTGTCCCCAGCATTGCAAAGAGATACACCCACCCTTCGAAATACTCTTGTAACACATTAGAGGAACATTGTGGTGCACAGCCAAAATGAATGTTTGTTTTTAATTCAGTTGTGGGCAGTATCTAAAGTGTCTATGTGCTGATGCCAGAATCTGGCAGGGATAGAGATATGATTTAGAAAGCACAGTCACTTCCTTCATGCTGAAAGAAATGCAACCAGTTGTGTAACAGGGAGTACAGCCAGTAAGATGAGGTTAGAAAAAGTCCCTTCTCAACTTTTTCACTCTTCTAATCCTTACCCTATTGTCATCCTGCCCTAATTATTCCCTTCTGCTGAGTATTTTGTTCTCACAGTGGCTCTGCCGTGCACTGCATCTTTGTTAATCCGCCCCAGAGAACAGGAAAGGTCACAAAACACCTTCAGGATTATCTATGGGTTTTATCTTTGCCCTTTAACTCCCCTTGGGCAGTTACTAACTACAGAGTAAACCTCGAAGGTCTGTTTAGTGTTTCCTGAGGCAAAAACCTCAAAGGAGTAAACTCCAGTTAGAAGAGCTGGCCCTTGTAGTGACCTGCAGAAGTCAAGGCTTCTGTTTTCAAGTCCATTGCATAACATAAGTATTTTTCTCTCCCTCAATGCTGCCTGTTCAGCTGGAGCTGCAGGTAGGTTTGGGTTTTTGCTTCATTGGGTTTTTACTGTATCTAATCCAATGGGACATACCAGCATCACTTTCCATTGTTGTTTTGTCCAGCTCCTGTTTAGTGTTTCCTGATTGACCCCACACTGCAAATTGTCACATTTGTTCTTCTTGAAGCAACCACTGTCCAGAACTAAGTGTTACCTGAAAAACTATTTTGCAGAACTCTAGTTCTTTTCGTGCCAATTAATTATAAATTTAAGGTGGATATTATAGGAGTAAACTGCTTGGGTAAAGAGCTGTAATATCCATCTTAAAGTTTTGGAGGATTTGTTTGCACAATTGTTTGTGCTGGATTAATATTATGAGTTAATGAGACAACACTTAGTTCTCTTTTTCTGTTTTTATAGTTGATAGCTTATCTAGCCAAAGAGCAGTAAAACGATTCACCCTTCTGTGGCCCTTGGATAGCAGTGGGACTGTGTTAAGTTATCCTGCTGTCTTCCCACTCAGCTCCCGGGTAAGGTACCAGTGATCAAATAGCAAATTAATAGTGCAGTTCAGGACTTGAAGTGCATTTCTTCAACTATATGTGTTTTATTAGCATATCCCTGTGGTTCAGGGGAACTTACGTACTCGTGACTCCATACAGCATATTAGTTTTTACACAGCACATGTCTGTGTTTCCAGTTCCTGGGGTGACTTACAGTAGATCTCTGTATTTCCCATTGTCTCACTTGTAAAATGGAGAATGGAGATGATGACAGTTCATTTGGAGCTCCTGTATGAAACTCATAGGTTTTTGAGTAATTCTCCCGTTCCTTTCCTGGAATGGAAGTCTAGGTTTGCCTCTGCAGTTCAGATGGTGAAAAGGACCTTTCAGGCTCACAAATTTAATCCTTAACACAGCATTTCACAGTATTCCCAAGCTGTTCCCTCATTGCAGCAGAAGAGCTCCTAACTTCACTTATTCAATGTCAGCTGTTGGCAGGCACTTAAGGGACACAGCAAATGTCAGCTGTGTCAGCTGTCACATTCCCACAAGGAAAGGAGAGAGGAAACCAGGGGAATGTTTTTTCAGAAGTCTCGAATGTAGCTCAGGGAAAAGTGGGTCATATGGAACATGTGTGAGCAGGGGTATCAGCAATGTCTCGTGCTATTTAGAATCATGGAATGGTTTGGGTTGAAAGAGACCTTAAAGCTCATCTTGTTCCATCCCCTGCCATGGGCAGGGACACCTTCCACTAGCCCAGGTTGCTCCAAGCCCCGTCCCACCTGGCCGTGGGCACTTCCAGGGATGGGGCAGCCACAGCTTCTCTGGGCAACCTGTGCCAGGGCCTCCCCACCCTCCTAGCCAAGAATTCCTTCTTAATATCCCATCTTACCATGCCCTCCAGGTTATTTCTCTGGCTTCTGTGTGTAACATGTGAAAAGAGAAGACATCGATAAATGACCATTTATGGATCTTAATTTGGAGAAGAGAAGATAATGCTTAGACTTAATGCTTAGAGCATTGCACTGTACTTTGAGTGCTGTATGCTCTGAGATTTTATACATGCAGAGGTAGCACCTAATTCCAGCTTTCCAATTATCCAACATGAAATTTTAATCCAGTATTGAAATGCAGATGCAGGACACACTTCCCTCTTTCTACAGGCAACATGTACAGCAGCATCTGTTCCTCCAGCAGACACTGCTGGATCAGGACTGGGATGGCTCTATAATATTTATCTGAAAGGGAGAAGGGGAAGAGAGAATAATCAGGAAATGTCACAGAAAAGGTAGAGTGAAGGAAAACACACCAAAACAAAATAGAGGCCGAGAAGAGATGTTGTGCACAGTAGGAGTGGAGAACTGCTCACAAGTTGTTACCTGCTGCTCCTAAACCTGCCATTCTGCCCCTGCTGTCATGTTTTGAAACGCTATTCTTCTTTTTCATAACAGCAGAAAGGCTTACAGTAGCACCTCTTGAATGTATGCTCCAGCAGAAGTTTTCCAGGCAATGCTAAACCCCAGCTGCACGTCTCTGTGGTGATCTTTGGTGAGAAGGTGATGTAAAGGGCTGTGGAATTTCATAAGCCCTGCTCCTGAGGGAAACAGGGCGCTGGCTCACCATCCCTTTTTATGGTGACTGAACTTGTGACCTGATCCCCCAAAACCAGTGGGAATTGCAGCTTTTCTCAGGCCCAGGTCTGTACTGCAGAGAGGACTTGTCTTTAGCATGACATTTTTCTGGAAAATAAGCTAAATAGAAGAAATCAGGGATGGAGAGGAAACTCTGCACTGTGTTCTGCTAACTCAGGGTGTAACTGCAGGTATGTCCCCTGACTCCTGCCTGCACAGCCTCCCCTGCTGTGAAATGGAGACAGAATATGATGCAACATCATAGGTTGTTCATTGCTCATCTGGTATATCTAATCCTGAGAATATCTGGATGTGGAATCTATCCTTAAAGAAGCTAAAGGTATCTGGGATGTTTCTTTCAGAATGCAGCTCTGCAGCACCTGTTCATCCGGAAATCCTTCCGGCCCTTCAAATGCCTGCAGTGTGGGAAGGCCTTCCGGGAGAAGGACAAGCTGGATCAGCACCTGCGCTTCCACGGCCGGGAGGGGAACTGCCCCCTGACCTGTGACATCTGCAACAAGGGCTTCATCAACAGTGGTGCCCTCGAGAGCCACATGAAGTTCCACATGGACCAGAAAACCTACTCCTGCATCTTCTGCCCCGAGTCCTTTGACCGCCTGGATCTGCTCAAAGACCACGTGGCCATCCATGTCAACGACGGCTATTTCACCTGCCCCACCTGTAAGAAGCGCTTCCCAGATTTCATCCAGGTGAGGTGCCCTGCTGATTTGAAGCACTGCCTTCTGGGTCTCTCTCAAGGCTATGGATTTTTCAGCCCTCTCCCTGTGAAATGCTGCACAGGAGTTCCTTTGCACATGATGAAGGGATCCACATCTGTCAGAAACTGAAAAGGAAGAGTGACCAAGCACTTGTAGATATTGTCTTATGCCGCTGAAGTGCTCTGTCCACTCAGTCATCAGATGTGGTGCTTCAGTCTGGCATTTGAAGACACTGTACTGCAGGAGGCTGGGTCCCTTATTCCCCAGAAATGCCCAAAGCAGAGGCCCTGGTTACCACAGCTCCACGGCACAAAAAGGGATTGTCTTTTGCCGTACTCAGCTTGTACTTGAACATACCTTGTCCTTTGTCATTAGAACTCTGAACAAAAAAAAACAGTGGTTTTTCGTCTTTAATCCCTTGCCTGGTTTTTGTCAGGATAATTCATTTAAACAGCTTGCAGAAATGCCAGAACAGATCAGGATACTCTGCTTCCTGACTTCCCCCCTGGGCTTCAGCTGGGCACTTTCTTCTACTCCCCTGCACACTGCTTAGGACTGCACTGGAGCAATGGTAATGCAGCTACTCTGTGCAGTGAGCAGAGCACTTGGGGAAGGTCATTAATAGAATTTAAAGATTCTATTTCCATGTCCAGTAAGAAAAAAACTGAGATGTACCACTAATATATTCATTATTCTTCCTAGGAACAAAGCAGTTGATGTGTGTTACTGAGCAGCCTGACTGAAATTGAAATGTAGAAAGCCAGTTTGTATTAGTAATAGGAACTGATAGACTGTCCACTAGGCTAAAGAGGAAAGGATGGGGAAAAGTGATTTACTAATACAACTCCATCCTGGCAGAAGCCCTTTATCTTCTGTAAATGTTGCACAAGGAAAAATGTTGATGATTCAGAAATTCTGTACTGCAACCTAATTCCCCATAAACTTTCCCATGCAAATGATCAAGTCAGAAGAAGGATCCATGGCTTTTTTCCAGCTATTCAGCTCTATTTTTGAAATTTAACAATGATTTTTTTCTCTTCTTGCTATATGAATAATTATGTCTAGTCACTGCTGCCTGTTTAAATACTTCTATGTGGAACACATAAAGACACCAAGTTGTTCCATGTATGATCAGTATTAGAATATGGTAGAGATTTAATTAGAGATCCGTTTCTTGAGTAATGCTTGCATTTCAAATGTCAAACCTCATTAGTTCCTTTATTTGGGGGGGGACCCCACTAGATGTTTGAAGAGGTCAAGGATAGTCCCAGAGTATGGAGAAGTAATTGCCATTCAGGAATGGTGTGCAAATGCTTTTCTGATTAAGGCTCTTTTTTTTTTTGCCAATTGTAATTGCATGCTCATTCTCTCTGATTGAAAGGAATTAGTCCCTGCATTTAGATTTCTTACAAATGTAGGGAAGATAATGAACCTCAGATGAATGTGTTCACTCGAGGGTGATTCAGTACAACATCGTGGACCTTTGCTGCCCATTAAGTGCAACTGTGCAATAGCTGATGCCTTCAAGAATCAATCTTGAAGAAATCAAATCATCCATCCATAAAGATGTTATGGCTTTATAGAAACTATTGTTGAGATATCTGTTCTGATCAAATAGTTTTTAAACCAAAACAGATTAGACAACTTCAAAACCTTTTTCCTTTCTTTCTTTTCAATAGGGTTTCCTAGACTGTTTTACCACTCACTTCTCTCTTGCATAAGCTCCATTTTTGTATGATCTGTCATTCCAGGTCAAGAAGCACGTGCGCAGTTTCCACTCTGAGAAGATTTACCAGTGCACAGAGTGTGACAAGGCTTTCTGCCGCCCCGACAAGCTGCGGCTCCACATGCTGCGGCACTCGGACCGCAAGGACTTCCTGTGCTCCACCTGTGGCAAGCAGTTCAAGGTGAGGTGGCTCTTGGCTGGACCATTCCGATACAACAAACACCATTTCTTGCCCTCCTTCAAGTAGATAAGTTCATGTTCTCAAAGGTGGAAGCAAATAATATGTGTAAACATGGTAGACTTGCCTGCAAGTTGCCTGTACTGCTTGGTGTTGTATGTGAGCTACAACATCCATTCCTAAGGGACAAGGCCACTCCAGCATTTTATTTCAAACAGATCTTATTTCTAATGACTTAACAGCAAAGGAACTTTCTATCTACTCATTAAGAACTAGATCATGATTCAGCTCCGCTAGCAGGTGCTTGGGTTGTATTGTTTATATCAGTTCAGTAAAGAAACTGCTTGCTGATACCAGTGAATTAATCTTATTCCTGACAGAGGTGCCTGTGTCCATGGCATCCATCCTGTCAGCATGTCATCCAGATGCCTTTCCAAATCCCACCAGAACAGATGGAGTGGACTGTGAGCCAGGTAAACTGTGGTGGCAGCAGCCTGCTCCTTGTCACTGAGCTTGTAGTGGGACACTGAGGGACTGGACACTTTTGGGTGAAGAAACACATTTTTCTGAGAGGAAAAGCTGGAGCGAGATCCCTGAAAACTCACATTCATGACAGGTCGTAAGGCAGTCACTGGGGTGGTGCTGACATTTTTCTCCCTCATTGCTCTTTCCCAGAGGAAGGACAAGCTGCGAGAGCACATGCAGAGGATGCACAACCCGGAGAGGGAGGCTAAGAAGGCCGATCGGATCAGCCGCTCGAAAACCTTCAAGCCCCGGATCGCGTCCACCGACTACGAGAGCTTCATGTTCAAGTGCCGCCTCTGCATGATGGGCTTCCGCCGCAGGGGCATGTTGGTGAGTGCCTGGCTGCTCCTACAGCCTCCTGCTCTATCCTGTTCAATAGTTAAAGAGGGAAGATGGAATTCCAGTGGTTGGAATGCAATGATCATAGAAGGCTTTGGGCTGGAAGAGACCTTAAAGCTCATCTTACTCCAATCCCCTGCCGTGGGCAGGGACACCTTCCACTAGACCAATCTGATCAGAGCTCTGTCCAGCCTGGTCTTATCCAGCCAGGATGCTGTGAAAAAGGGGAAATTTTATAGCTGAGTTGAGGTGATACATCTTTTTTTAAACCTGCATGTCTTGTCTCCTCAGCAAATGTGTCTTTGCACGTTTCACTGCCTGCCTTGTATGTCTGGTTGTCACTCCCATATTTCAACGCTAAGTAATGCTGACTGACGTGTAATGTATTTAACAGAACATGAGATGAAAATATTGCCTAATTCAGCCTTACAGCTTCAGTTTTCTTAGTCTCTTTCTGTGTTTTGTTTCTCCCCCTTCTTGAGGGCCTCTCCTGGCCATGCCCTGTCACTGCCTCTGGGTGAAGGCTGTACTGCAGCAAGAGATCTTGCTTGCAGAGGTTTCATGGGGGCTGTGATCTGGGCAGAGGCCCTTTACACTGCCTCACTCTCAGCTGCAAGACAGTTCTGGCGAGCTATTTTACCCCTTCCCATCTTATTTTGATTAGAGAAACTGTTAATGAGATCTAGCACAAGACCATGTTTACCTTCAGCAGCCAACTGTGAGTGCACAATACCCCTTGCAGCAGCAAATGCTTCTGGTGCTGCTGACTTGCATCATTCACTTCTGGTTTGGCTGTTATCCATGTCTGGGAGAAGCAGCAATTGTTTGGTTTTCAGCTGTAATATGTTCTTGTTCTCTCTCTGTGTTTCTTTTTCCTAAGGTGAATCATTTATCCAAGAGACATCCAGACATGAAAATAGAAGAGGTGCCAGAGCTCACGCTGCCCATCATCAAACCCAACAGAGATTACTTCTGTCAATACTGTGATAAGGTGTGTAGGAAGTCACCCCTCAGAGGACAGCTCAGTCCCAGACCTACACGCAGCCAATCTGTCTCTGTATAGAAATCTCTGGCAGGGTTTGTAGCTTTTTCTAAGGTGGTTGCCAGCAACATTCTGCTGTACTGTCCAAAAAAAATGAAGACAAAATGCACTTAGGCCAAGGCAGTGGAATGTTAATTGAAAACTGGAGTTATCCTTTTCTGCTGTCTTTGGCATTGGAAAACAAATACTGTTAATCCAGCAAACAGTCACTGACTCTTAGTCCTGTGTCAGCCCAGGATGAAGTATCCTGTCTGTCTATAGTTCCTGAACGCTAAGTTCTTTTGGTTTCTGTATCACTCCTAAAAGTCTCTAACTCCTTTTACTGTAAGCTGCTCATTTAGTCATATGCCAGTAATTCCAGTGTTCCGTGGAGCCTGAAGCTGTTTCTGCAGTGCCTTTGCGTTCCCGCTCTTATTCCCTGGCGTTTGCTTTTTGTGCATGGGGGCATTTATTTACCAGGCAGTGTATTTTATATGTCCTTATCCTCAGTATATTCTTCTGTGATGCTTCCTTTCTTTTGTTTGAAGGGAGAAAAAAATAGTTTTAAATAATATTACAGAATATTCATTTGTTGCGATGCCTAAAAAGAATTAAAAAATATGTCGATCACTGAACTAAAACAGTTTGTTGTTTTGTGTGTGAGGAGAGTGGAGGCATCGATCCTCATAACAAATGAACATTGGGCAAATTACAGCTTTGGTGATCAGTGGCTTCTCTTACATTTGACCTTCAAGTACCAGGCAAAAAGGGTTTTCCTCTTACCTCCTTGTCCTGCTCTGAGTCTGGTTGTGGCATACAGTATGTTCTCAAAAGGCTTCTGTGTGCTACACAAGAAGTTAGTTGTTTTTACAGACTGATTAAGCACTGGAAGGGTTATATATGTTCATGCATTATGTTATAATTTTGGGGGGATTTAACTAAACATAGAGAATAACAGAATATGCTGAGCTGGGGGAGATCCATCAGGATCATCAAGTCCAATTTCTGGCCCGGTGCAGGACACCTCGGCAATCCCACCATGTGCCTGAGAGTGTTGTCCAAACACTTCTTGAACTCAGACAGGCTTGGGGCTGTGACCACTGCCCTGCGCAGACACACGCAGACCTTCCAGATCAAGATAACTGGTAGCTGTTTTCTGTGCAGACATCAGCAGTGCACCATTTTAATTCCAAATCTTTCCCCTGCAGGTGTACAAGAGTGCCAGCAAACGCAAAGCACACATCCTGAAGAACCATCCTGGTGCTGAGCTGCCTCCAAGCATCCGGAAGCTGCGTCCTGCAGGCCCGGGAGAGCCGGATCCCATGCTGAGCACCCACACTCAGCTCACAGGCACCATTGCCACCCCTCCCGTGTGCTGCCCTCACTGCTCCAAGCAGTACAGCAGTAAGGTACGAGGTGTTTTGGCCCCAAAAGGCACAGCTGTCCCCCCAGCTCTTTCACCACAGCCCCTGTCACCTATCACTCTTAGTCTGAGTCAGAGCGCTGGTGTCATGGCGTGTGCTGACAATGCAGGCACAGCCTGCTTGTTTTAGGGCTAAAAGGTTCCCTGAATAGAGGGCACAAGCTTGAAAGAAGGAATGGAAAAGTTACCAGAGCATGATCACAAATGGGAAGGCTTGGAAACTGCTCACTGACAGTTACAAGGGAGAGGAGTGGGGAAACAAAACACAGAAAAGATGACCTTCGGAAAAAGTCCCCCAAATATTTGGCTGTGTTGGGGTAAAAAGCTACTGGATGTGCTGTTTGGGGCAATATTTCAGTGTCAGGTAGCTCTAAGCAGCAGCAGCTTTCTGATCCTTGTTTCTTGACCAGAGCATCCCATAGTGTGAATCTTGATGGTGCCTCACTGAGGGAAACCCAAAAGCTGCAGTTGGCCGGACTGGTGGATTTCACGGAATCCCAAAATATGCTGAGTTGGAAGGGCCCCACAAGGACCATCCAGTCCAACCCTCAGCGCTACACAGGCCCATCCCTAAAATTCACACCCTGTGCCCCAGAGGATCATCCAAACTCTCTTGGAGCTCTGGCAGCCTTGGTGCTGTGCCCACTGCCCTGGAGAGCCTGTTCAGTGCCCAACCAGCCTCATTTCCCATGGCCCCAAGCAGTGTTCCTGCCCATCCTTCTAACACTGTTTGTTTCTGTAGACAAAGATGGTACAACACATCCGTAAGAAGCACCCGGAGCTCGCTCAGCTCCCGAACACGATCCATGCCCCGCTGGCCACAGCCGTCATCAGCTCCACCCCCGCTGTCCTGGCCACCGACAGCACCACCGGCGAGACCGTCGTGGTAAGGGCTGCAGGCCAGGGGAGGGGAACAGCCACAGCAGAGGCCCTCTGGTATTAGTGATCTTACTTTATTTGGCAGACATCATTTTAAAGGCTGCATTAGGACATGATTTGAGATCACGTCTGGTTTTGAGTCTGGTTTAGTTTTGCTCTGCCAGGAACTGTGTATTTCTTTCTGGAGCTCTTAAGGATTTGCCTTTTTTCCCCAACTCCATTCCCTTCTTTCATTCAGACCTACTGATTCCACATAATACATTCACACATGCCTAATGAACTCAGAAACACACATCTCGTGGATTTTCACTGGGACTACTCCCCTGAGGTACTTGCAGTTCTTGGGATCAAGAGAACGTGTTTAACAGGGAACTGGATCCAGCTGTGTTCAGGGAGTCAAGATCTCTGTAGGCCTTTAGACGGTGCAGCACTGACTGATATGAATCTCCAGTGGCTGATCTCTGTTAACACATCAGCTGCCACAGAAGTGAAAGCTGAGACTAGAAAATCTGACATGTATCCCTCAGGGGTGCTGAGATGCTGCATAGTTGTAGAAATCCTATTGATCACAGTTTAAAACTGTTGGAAGACTAAGTGGATAAAAGACTGTTTTGCTTGAAAAATGAGAGGTTCAATCAGGATGCTGTTGGCTGCATACACCTCACTAATTAGATATTAAATGGTTTTACTTACTTCAGAAATACAGTTGTCAAGAAAAGTATCAGTCTGGAGGAGGAAAGATGGAATATGACCATGAAGCACTTTTTGACTTAGAAATGAAGTCAGCTCCTTACAAATGCAGGACTTTTGTTGTCTAATAGAATATTGTTAAGTCAGAAGGTTAAAATAATTATATTTATTATGGTATGTTAAGTTAGCCCTTAATGGTACTCTAGTGGATGATCCCTGGTGATTACTTATGACCCCAACCTCTGCACACATTGAGCTCTTGTAAATAAATGACCAGGCCCAAGGTAAGTGTAAGTTCAGTGTGAGGAACTTTTGCCTTGCAAAAGTGCATCAATATGCGAAGACAGTTTGTATCTCTCTCCTTCTCCCTGCTCAGACAACAGATTTACTGACCCAGGCCATGACAGAGATATCCCAGACCCTCACCACGGACTACCGGACTCCCCAGGGGGATTACCAGCGCATCCAGTACATCCCTGTGTCCCAGTCCACAACTGGCTTGCAGCAGCCTCAGCACATACAGCTGCAGGTTGTTCAAGTGGCCCAGGTGAGTAACCTGCTGGGAGTCTTGCTGTGCTTTTGCCCCCTTCCACACCAAGCCTGTGCATTCTTGGGGCTGTAGCACTCAGAAGTTTGTTAAGGAGTAGTTACAAAAGGTGGTGCAGACCATTTCTTACAGATAAATCAATTGATAATGCATAGGGTTCCCTTCATAAGCATCGTGTACTGGGTATAAATAGTCCTGCCAGCCTTGGTCAGCTTGCTGGAGACATACCAACACAGTCTTGACTTAATTCTCCCCATCTGGGCACCCTCGCTCGAGTCTGCTCCAGGAACGTTTTCCACCAACTGGAAAAGTGGGTCAGTGGGTGACCTGTTTTCTGCAGTTCAAGACTAATTTGTACTTCCTTGTTCTCGGTGAACCAGAGCCAAAATTTGGGAGTACAGAGAGTGCTCGCTTGTTCCCTTCATATCATCTGTTAGAATATTCATTCCCTGATGCTCAACAGCCTCCTAAAAATAAAACCAGAGTGTAACTAGAGTAACTGAGCAAGATAGGCAGCTGTAAGGAATCACTGTAGCCTTCAAGTCTGTTATCCACTGGGTAAAGCTGAAACTACCATTTGTTTGGATTTGAATCTGAAATTCTGTGTTCTCTCTGGCCCCTCGTTACAAATCACGTTATGAATTGGGTTAATAAAGGCCTAAACAATGGCCCCAGTTAATAGTGACTGTGGCTGTTGTAACCATACAAGAGCATGAGTACTGATTCCTGCAGTATTATTAATATTATCAAGACCTTAATTTTATCAAGACCTGAGACTTGTAATTAAGTTACTGCAATTGGTATCATTAGCAGGTGTTGTTCAAAAAATCCATTAAAAGCCTCTGGCCCCTTGCCTTGACGCAGCTATGCCAAACTACAGAACTGGATATGCAGATCTCAAGTATGTGAACAATTTATAGAAAGATGCAAATCCTGGTTTTCAGACCAGTCACTGCCACAAGCAGCTTGTATGAGCTCAGACAAGTCCTTGCCATTCCGATCACTGAGATAAAACCATCTCTGTGCCATTACATCTGTTAAGTGTACTTTACCTCCTAGGAGTGCAAAGAAACTCAACAGGCTTGAGCAGGAGTGCTCCACTATGGCTCCTACCTCATTATTCCACACCTTGTGTCCCAGAAGAGATTTACATTGCTGCTTCTGTAAAGAATTTGAAATATGCACCTCTGCTTATTTTTTTTCCCCAGGCTACCTCACCTCACCAGTCCCAGCACTCCACAGTGGACGTTGGGCAGCTCCATGACCCCCAGACATACACACAACATGCCATCCAGGTGCAGCACATCCAGGTCACAGAGCCATCGCCAGCAGCTCAGTCATCACCACAGGTATTTCCCTCTTCTCTTGCAGGGAATCTTTTCCCTGCCAGTCTGTTCCGCTGACATATTGCATGTGCTGAGGCAGGAGACAGTCTTCTCTATGTCACTTAAAGGACCACACATGAAATGACTCTCACATGAACATCTCTGTGATCATCAAGTAGTTCCCAGGTGTCTCAGGATGTATGGGAGTGTTTTGTTGTGGTTTTGTTTGGGGTGTTTGTTGTGTGGGTTTTTTGGTGGTTTTTTTTTTTCCCCTAAGTTAGAGATAAATAGTTGGGAACTGACAAATTTGCAGCTTAAATAGAGTTTGTTGGTTAAAATATGTAAATGGAAACTGGCATTCCTCAAATATTTGAAGTGCAGCTCTTCATTCTCTTGGGTAGAATTTAGCCTCTAATCTCTGTTCTCTGCCACAGACTCACTTGGGCAAACAACATCTCTGTTTTTCCTGGTCTGTGCTTACTGGCCATAAAGTGAAGCAAGTCAGGGAGGAGAGTTTTGCATTTCTTGTGCTTGATGTGCTCTGGAACCCACCCTGTGTTTGCCCTTTGTAAGAAGGATGTATCTGGAAGAGTACAGAGCTATGCAATCCTTACCTACACCAAGAACATTTACATCTTTTTTTTCTTTAGGTTGGAGGTCAACCTTTGAGTCCCTCCTCACAACAACCCCAGCAGGAACTCAGCCCTTCACAGATGCAGACTGTGACACCGACACCAAACCAAGGCCTGCAGCAGCAGGGCTCCTCAGTCCAGCACACGTATCTCCCCAGCACTTGGAACTCCTTTCGGAGCTACTGTGAGTGTCACAGTACTCTCACTACTTGCCTGGCCAGTGTGTGTGACTAATATGTGCCCCAGGTCTCCAGCTACCAAACAGGATTGTGTTTTCAGAGCTCATTAAGCTTTGTGGTTAATATTCATAGAGATCAGGAAGATAAAGTTTCAGACAAATGCAGATGGTTGTTGCAGCTCTTCTGCTGTAGGTCCATCCTGATTCCATATGTGGTTTGGGCAGGCATGCTGGGCTCCTTTATCCCAAAGAACTTGCACTCAGCAAGAATCCATATGCTGGACAGCAGTTAGTTCAGATTTGGACGAGTGCTTGAAAGAACTGTACAGAACAGGAGGGTGACAGGAGACAATTTCTCATGTCCATGCAGCTCTGGATGGTAATTCTGTGATGATTTTGGTCAGAACAGGGTGTGTTGTCTCCACAGGAGTTGCCCAATCTGCAGTTGGTGTTACCTGGCATAATTCTGTTGAGGCCTGTGGAGTTCGACAGGGCTTTACAGCACCTGAATTTCTGTTCAACACCCACTGTTTCAGACTTTAAATCTTGCTGATGTAAGACGTGATCTTTCAAAGTTGTCTTTGATTCAAAGTCTTGATTCTCCAATTTCTATGTTTTAGCATCAGAGATTCAGATGATGACCATTCCCCAAGGGCAGTACGTGATCACAGAGACCGCTGTGGGTAACCCGGTCACCACTGTCAACACGGGGCAAGTGAAAGCAGTTACTCAGGTAAAGAAAACAATCATGGACATTTTTTCATCCAGAATAATATATCAGACATAAAGTCTTCAGCTTGAAGGTTAAAGCAATGCCAAATTGATGACTGGGGCACAGAGTAAAGCATAATGTGGTACCTAAAGAGGTCCAGATTGCACAGTACAGTCTGTGTGTAACCATTTACAGAACCCACACTGTCTGCCCCTTGTGTGTATGACTCCTTCCAGCTTAAAGTGTTCTTTTAATCACATTTGCAGGACAAACTATTATTTAGTGGTACTGCTTAGTCTTAAAAATATTTATGATTAAGCTGTATTTATTAAACCAAATTTCAGAGCAGCTCCTGGGAACATTTTGATAGCTTGTTGTTATCTGTAAGGTTACAAAATAAGAGGAGTTCCTGCTGTCTTATCTTGTAAGCAATCCAACACAAGGAGGCAGGCAGGCCATTGCACTGTGTTGGTATTGGACACTGGGAGTGCAACTTCTGCTAGAATACATGGAATATAGAAAAAACCTTGCAGAATACTTGTATTCAAAATTGTTTCTTTAATCTGAAGTGATGGGTTTTGTGTAATGAGTTTAACAATTCATAAACTATCCAAATGCCAAGTCCAATGTCCTTCAAATCAAAGGACAAGCGTTATGTTGCTCTCAAATACAGTTAAATGAAAGAGTTTCATTTCCAAGTTCCTTGTTCATCCCAAAATACCTTCCAGCAGACTATTAGAACAGAGAAGTCACAGAAGATACAATGATCAGTAATCATTTCTGTTCCCCCTGCAGACTCACTATGTGATCTCGGAGGGTCAGCCCGACCTGGACAAACAAACGTCCTCGCTGCCCAGCGAGGTACAGGTGGGTGTTTCCCAGCCCCCAGAGCCCCTGGAGTCCCAGCCGAGCAGCCAACAGCAAACCACCCAGTACATCATCACCACCACCACCAACGGCAGCGGGGGCAGCGAGGTGCACATCACCAAACCCAGGACTTTCTCAGCAGAACACGAGTGAAGCAGCCCCACAGTGTCATCTACTTGTCTTGTCACCTCCCTGACAGCCCAGATGTGGGGGTACCCTGGGGCTCCATATGTTTTGATCTCTGTTCACTTACCTTCAACTAAAATCTTGAAGCTCTTGTTAATGCTTTAAGAGGATTTAAGTCCCCAGTGACCATGAAGTATGCTCAAAGTCCTTCTGGGATGCTTTTATGCAGCTTTTAACAAAAAGGACAAGAGAAGTGAAACCTCTCCTTGCCCTGGATTTTATTTTTGGCATGTCTGCTGACCCTTACTTTTCCTTTTTGGAAGTGTCCCCAGCGAACAACTTTTTATTTCAATTGTATGGGAAAAGCTTGCCTAGCTGAAGGCATCCTGGCAGATTGTTGTATGTATATTTTTAACGGGAGCCTTTAAACAGGAGGACATCATGTAAATTGCCAGAGTTTGGCAAAACTGCTTCCTGTGGCTTTGTTTCAGCAGCCAAGGTGAAAGGGAATGTCCCAGCTCAACATGAGCAGACTGCCTGGAGAAAGGAGCAGCAGCAGCCAAGTGGTGGCTCCTTGTGTCCCTGTGTGGGGATGGATCAAGCAGTGAAGATGTGCCGAAGCAGTCCATTAAATTATCCTTTTTCCATCCCTCCAGAACTGTTTACATGCTGTTTGCCCTGCCCTGTGTTACCCAGCAGTTCCACAAAGAAGGAAAAGGGGAGTCTTGTTGTTGGACAAAGTGACTGAAATCATAGTAGCACCCGATGGTACTATGGAGCCACCGTTGACTCTCTTCCCTGCACTGTTTGGAGGGAAGGTCGCTTTTTTGCCTGTAAACAAAAAAAAAAAGGCTCATCTTAACCTGCACTTTTGACCTAAGATAGTTGTGCCAGGAGAAAATGAGGGTACAGGAGCACTGCTCTGAAGGGACTGGGTCCTTATCTCTGTGGCCCCCTCAAAGTGAACATGTTTCTCCCCTTCAAGACTGGATGGAGAGTTGGTTACTCTGATTTTTTTCTAAATAACCTTGTTAACAATGCACTGTAATTCCTTTGGACAGTTCCATAAAAAGACCAGCCCTGGACTCAGGAAACACTCCAGAAACATGCTTGTGGACCACTATTTATGGGACACAGAAAGCCATCTGTGAGGGTTGCCTGCTTTGGTGGACCTGGTCCGTGTACAGAATTCATGTTGCATTTAGGGACCAGGAGAAAGGGAAAGAGAAGGTTTATCTCTTAAGGCAGTATAATATTTTTTTCCTTACATAATTCTCCTTCACAGGTCTTGTTGGTTGGTTGTTTGATGCTTCCGGTAGTTGCAGGAATATGTCTAGAACTCCGTTGACTCCCGATGGGATACACCATGTATGTCTGAACCTCCATTCTCTGCTGGAAAACTCGTCCCAGAATGTCTGTGCATAACAGGATACATTTATTTATAAAACAATAACAAAGAAGGATGTTGTGTCTTAGAGGCCCTTAAGACAGAAGAACTTAGAGAGGTTTTTTTTGATTTGTTTTCTCTTGTGCTGCACTGAGTGTGAATGCAGGACTCATGTTCATGAGCATTCCCATGGATTTAAGTGAGGATTACCCATGAGTAAGCACTATAGATTGTGATATCAGGTTTTATGGAGTTAAAGTTCTTAGACACAGGAGAACTTCACACTCAGGCTGGACAAGAGGAGGTCTGGTTCCTTGTGGGCAAAGCCTTGTAGCGGGTATTGCTTTGGTAATTAACAGATCTGTTAATATGGCGTGGAAAGAGAAATGAGAGAAATCAGATGGCAAATCCTGGCCAGCTCAGAACTGTTCTGAGGTAGCTTTAAAGAGACTTGCCAAAATGGGGATTAATTTATTCCTGGAATTTCACTTCTCTTGCTGTACCACCATCTTGGGGCATCAGTTAGCTGGATAAATTTAAGTAGGACCAGAGCTGCCGTTTAGTGCAGTGATGAGTGACTTTAAATTTCATCGATTTGGGAGCCTATTGACTGTGGTAGCGTGGCCAAGTGACCACAATGCCTACTAATTAATTTGAATTTCTATTGCTGAGGACTTTGGAATTACAATGTCAGGCCTTGTGATGATGTTGGTGTGGGAGAAGGGGGAGATCTTGTCTTGGCTTTCTTCATGCTGCTGCTTACTTAATAAAGAGCCAAAAATAGTATTAGTAGGAAAATAGCAGACTTGGAAATATCCAGGGCAATACTGCCCGACAGCAGCAGTTTTAAAGTCTTAAATGTTTGACAATAGATGAACATCAGACTTGTTCCCATTAACAGTGTTGCACATGTGGAGTTTAAAACTATTTTGCTCTATTCACCTTTGTTGGAACGGTTTATGAACAAGGACAGTTGTACCAGTTATTTAAAACGGAAAACTACAACAGAAAACCATTTTAAAACTCAAATCTTTTTAAGTTTTTGAACTCAAATCTTCCTCATCAAAGTTTTTACTCTGTCCCTCAGCAGCATAGTCAGGCCATCAGCCTGACATAACTGAAGTGATTCCAAGTGTCCCAAGTTAAACTAATGCCCTGTTATGGAAGAAGCATCCCTGGAAATGGAAGTACTATGAATTTTCCTTCCAAAGTAAGGAACTACATTGATTGCACAGTTGGCAAAAAGCAAGCAAGAAAAAAAAAGACAATGATTGCATGGATTCTTTTTTTCCCATTTCTGCAGTGCAGAAGGTATAGGATGTATTATTATTATTATTATTATTATTACTATTATTATTATTATTATTGTTATTATATTTTTAAACCAGAGCAACCCAAAGATCTCTCCAGTCATGTCCCACAGGAGCGTAACTCCAGAGTCCTCTTGGTTGCCTGCAAGGTCTATGTTTTGCTCGGGGATTCAGGCTCCTCAGGGTCTAATGCTGTCCCCTGGAGGTGTTTTTAGGTCAGATCCTGTATTTTCCTGGAGGAAAAAGAAAACAACCCCAACCCACGCACCCTGACCGTGCACCTCTTGGACTGCTCGGGCCCCATCTCTTATTTAAGTGTGTATGTTTATTGTACATTTGGTGACTGTTGTTGTGTTCAGAGTCTCGTGCAACCTGGCAGGTGTAAAAAACAACCCCCCCCCCCCGAAATTAATAAATCTTTTTCTCTTTTTTTTTTAAACACTTGTGATGATTGATCTTTTCGGGGTGGGAGGTGGAGGGGGTGAGATGTGTTCAGTGGGGGGTGAGTGAAAGTGCAGTGTAGATAAAGATATGGAAGTTATAGGGAAAAATACATTTGCTTCCTGATGTCCCACAACACGGTCCAAGGGGGGCTAAAGGGAGGTGGAGACCCCATGGCTCTGCCTCTGAAACCCTTTTAGAGGATGGAACGTGGTAGTATTTTCCAGCTGATCAACCCCACAGCAGCTGAAAACTAAGGACTACAGGAAGATGTCCTCTTGAATCAGCAACTGTGGTGAAATCCCTATCCTTGGACTGACACACGTCCCCATCCCAAGGTTATCACAGGTACTATCCTGAGATATCTGCCCTCAAAGTATGACCACTCCTCACTGAGTAAAATGTATGACCTCCACCTAAATGTAAAGAAAAGTTAAGATTGGGGAGAAGTTATGGAAGACTCCATTGTAACTTCTGGGACCATTCATTCTGGGGTGAATGTGTCTCTCCCTCATGAGTACCCCTTGGGTAAAAACTGCATGAATGATTATCTTGAGCTCCCTTTCTCTGGGGATTAGAGCTTGTCTCTGTATTGCTTCGAACATGTTTTTGCAGTCAGACACTATCGCTGGCAGTCCTCGAACCTCAACCCATCAAAATGTTATTAATATTCTGTAAACTGTTAACTGAGTCCTTCAAGGGTGTTGTCAGTGGGTGAAGGTGCGGAGACCCCGGACGGGTCTCTCTGTTTGCTGCATTAAAATTTAAAATACAATTAATATTAGCACAGCATATCAATGACTAATCCACTTAATAGGATTGCAATCAAGCCATAGAAACCTACAACTGATATGCAGCTTCAGAATTCCACAAATACTTTTTTTTTTCCTGAGAGAGAATCATTTTCTTTCAGAAGATCCTCTGAGCGTTGGAGATGAATTCCAACCTAAACTTCCAAGGGGAATCACAAATCACAGCAATCACTGTGGAATCAGTGGAACCCTCCGATCTGGTGAAGTCGGTGGAGGGTCCCCATGAGGGGATGGAACAGCGGGCACGATCGCCTCGGCCTTCCCGGGGCGCGTACAGCCTAATTAAGCACTCCGGGTTCGAGGAAATCTCCCGTTTGCAGCGACGCGGGTCTCGCCTGTCGCGACGGGCCCAGCAGGGACCACAGCCGAGCCGCGGCCGCCGCCGCCATGAGGGGCGGCCCCGCGCAGGCGCGCTGGCACGGGGCGGTCGCGCAGGCGCGGGCAGCGCCCGCCGCCTTCCGCCTTCGGCCGGGCCGCGTGAGGGTATGAAATAGACCGATTTTCTCTCTTTTCCCACCTCCCACCAGGGTTTAAGCCTTTTTTATATTGTCCCGTTCTTATTCCGCGTGTTTCATGCGTTTTCTCCCAGCCCAGAGCTGCCCGGCTGTTGCAAACCGTGCCGCTTGGCCCTGTCACAGCTGCACGTTCAGCCTGAGACAAACCCCACCTCACACCTGACCTTCGGTTCTGCGCCTCAAAACCGCTCTCAGGGTTTACATGCAGATTTTCATGGTGTTTTGCACTACTGAAAGCAGTTCCTGCAGGTGGGAAGCGAATGGGTCACCTGTGCTTCCCAGTCTACCTGTCTGGAAAAACCTGAGGGCTTTTGCAGGGAAAAAACAACCCTGTGACGGCTCCGTTGGCGTGACCTGTGTTGTAATTGAAGAGGAAATTTTATATAAAATTATATATATATAATATATACGTTGTAATTGAAGATTACATTTTAATGCAAGTATATGTATTAAAAATATCTTGTTATATATGTATATATGTTGCAGCCCAATGTCACAGCTTGCACTTCAACAACCACCCATCAAAGGTGGCTTCTCAGCCATTGCTCACCCGGGAGTGGGTCTGTCTGGGTTTGGCATTTTTGGTTGTTCAGGGCTTTATTCTCCTTGTGCAGGAGCAGGAGGGGGTGAAGGATGGACTCCCTGGACCACATGCTTACGGACCCCCTGGAGCTGGAGGGCAATGGCAGTAGGATCATGGAGGACTGTATGCTGGGCACCACCAGGGTCAGTCTGCCTGAGGACCTGCTGGAGGACGTGAGTAGTGCTGAGACAATTTAACTTTTCATAATCTGGATTAAAAACATGTTTAACTCCCTCTCTGGGGGTTACAGAGCAAACTGAAAAGAGGGGAGATGTTTCTGACTGCCTGGGAAAGGTGTCAAAAAGGGCTTTGATTAATCTCAGGAAAACATCTTTTGAATCAACTCTGTTATTTTCTTATTTTGAAGTTGCTTTTAAGAAAACTGTTACAAGCTTTGAATGACTTTTCTGGTTGTTAGTATCAATTTCCTCACCTTTCCTCTTTATGCTGTGTTGTTACTGCATTTGATGAGACACTGTCTCATAACTGGTGCTAATTCACCACAGAAAGCCTCAAGGACTAGATGATTGTCAAGGACCTGGATGCATTTGCTTCACTGTTGTTTCTTGCTTCCTTTAGCCTGAGATCTTCTTTGACGTTGTCAGCTTGTCCACGTGGCAGGAGGTCCTGACAGATGCGCAGCAAGAGCACCTAAAAAAATTCCTGCCTCACTTCCCTGAGAACAACCGGGAGCATCAGAACAAACTCATCTTGGCACTGTTTGGGGGGCAGAACTTTCGGTTTGGGAACCCGCTGCACATTGCCCAGAAACTCTTCCGGGGTCAGTGAGCTTCTGGGTGAGTTTGGGGGAAGTTCTGAGCCAGCAGTGACACCTCAAGTGTGTGTTGTCTCTGTCGCAGATGGACACTTCAACCCCGAGGTGGTGAAGTACCGACAGCTGTGCTACAAGTCGCAGTACAAGCGTTACCTGCGGGCGCAGCAGCAGTATTTCTACAGGCTGCTCAAGCAGATCCTCACCTCCCGCAATGTGAGTCTACTCTGCCACTGACAGTTTGGCTTTATAAAATATGCCGTGGTGCCTTCACAGCTCTTTGAGGTCTCTCCTTTAATGAATTTAATGAGTAATGTTTCTGGTTTTTCCAGTGGCCCAGAGAGAACACCAGACCCATTGTTATGTTTGCAGATTTTGGGTTTTGTAACTCATAGCTCTTAGTTGTGTGTAGTGTCTTTTTTTGCATGCCCACCTTGCCCCCACTTCCTGCATTTGCCCCTTTATGACTTACTGTCTTCTTAACAAGTCACTTTGCCTTTGTTTTCAACCATTTCTGTCACTCTGAAACAAGTACAGTTGCTAAATGCATAGTTACAAAATATGTAGATACAAAACTCTAATCCTAATGCCTGTAAATCCCTGAGGAAGTCTTCCTCTATGGATACTTCTGTGAGCTAATTGCTGCCAACTGAAATCAGTTTGTTGTAAATACTCACTCACTTATCTTTTATTGCATTTAAGACATTGAAGCATATGGGATGTATGGATGAAGGTGAAAGCCTGTCTTATAAAATGCCTTGTAGTGTTACGGGAAATAGAATCAGAGAATCCACCTTCCACTAGACCTTGTTGCTCCTGGCCTTGAACACTGCCAGGAATGGGCAGCTACAGCTTTTCTGGGCAACAATACAGAATACATTATTTCCTCTGTAGCCATAAGGGGTAAAATGTTTTCTTTAAATGAGGCAATATTCCATGTCTGTGTTACATTTTTGGCAAGGAAACTACATCTCACACCAATGTTTTAAGTTCTTCTCAAATGACAGGTACTGTTGTGTGTGCAGATGAAGGGGCAGAAACTTTGCCTTGCTTTTTTGATGGTTTAAAATCTTGGGTTTAAAATCCTGTATGTGGCAGATACTGATCCTTCCTAAGGGTTCCCTTATACAGGACTGAGGTGCTGACAGCACCGGCTCCGCATGGGAACCTTGCTGGAAGTACCTGAGCTGAGCTTACCTGTCCTGGCTTTAAGACCCATAGCTGACACAGCTAATGTCACATGAATCTCTTCTTCCAGCACTTGCTGGAATTAGCCAGGAAAGGAGGCCCTGACATGACCCTGAGGAGAAGGCACTTCCCACCGACGTATGACTCGGAAGAACGAGACAGACGGACACATCAGCGCTACCTGAAAATCTTGAGGGAAGTGAAAGAGGAGTGTGGAGACACTGCCTTGTCTTCTGATGAAGAAGGTAACGCCCTGGGCTGAACTAAAGTCTCGAGGTGTGAATGGAGAAAGACACACTTTTGATGTGGGGACAGTGTCTCTGATAGAGCGATGAAATCTGGACTCTAGTTTTACTGGCTGTGATCTAATGAACACGAGGTAATAGAATTACATAGATTGGTTCTAAGTCTTCCAGAAGTAAATTTATTTTTCTCTTTCAGAACTAATCTCTTGGCCTCCAAGTTCTCCAGCACGTTGTTCAAGTCCACCAGTTCCCCTGAGAGTGATCCCCACATTGTCAACCTTGGACATGAAAACAGCAGGTGAGAACCAAACTAGGGACCAGTACAGATTTAGAGGGGAGAATTACTTTGAGACTTTGCAAGAAATCATCTTGAAAATGTATTGTTCGATGAAAACTTGTAATTCTTCATTTCTGCAGTCAACACGACAGTTGGTTCTTCTCTCAGTTTTATAGCAGTAGTATTTTAACACAAGGGTCACAGTTTGTGTAATACTACCAATTGCTCTATTGTATTCTGGCTTTAATGGTTGAAGTGTTAGCATAGTCCAGTTCAAAACATTTAGGAATCCCAGTCTGCAAACCCTTCAGGCTGGTTCTGGCTTCTTTTCACTTCCATGGCTGCATCGGCAATGAAATCTGATGAACCAAGGAAGCACTGAAACAAAGGAGTGAATGAAATGCAAATAAGGAGAAATTAGTTATTGAAATTTGGAGATTGCTGGACGTGAGAATGGATAGAAAATGTCATTCTAAGAAGTCTGGAAAGTAACAGTAGGGGAGTACTGTGCAAATAATATCTGAAATCTCTTTCATTGCAGACAAGATAGAACTTGGGGAAAGTGATTTGAAGATGATGTTGAAGAAGCACCATGAGAAACGAAAACGTCAGCCTGTAAGATGTCAAACTCTGGGACTGCATGTTATCTTTTAGTCTTTTATCTGTTAGTCATAAAGTTCAATATGATTGCTATTTTTTGTGTGCAGCCATCCTCCAGCTCTTTGCCATAACCTGAGTTTAATTGCCAGTGTATAGCTGCAGGTCCTGCTTATGCTTATCCGGTTAAAATTTTGTAATTTTAATTACATGTTTTGGAGAGAAAAAATTTTTCCTTTCAGAGTTAGAAGACTTCCCAGCTTTTGTTGCAGTAAATAACTTTATAAGCCGATCCCGGTTAGGTTTGGGGCATTCCCATACTTCTGCACCCTTGTTACTATCTTAACACCGTGTCCTTTCCCAGTTTAATTTCTGCCCCACTGTCCTGTGTAGGATCACCCTGATCTGGTCACGACAGACCTGACTCTGGAGGACATCATGACTCGAGTGAATGCTGGCAGGAAAGGCTCCTTAGCAGGTCAGTGGATCCTTTGCCTTTTTAATTTTATATACATTGGTTTAAAAAATAGAGGTTTTCTTTTGTAGGGGAAAATAAAGATTCATGGCAATGACTGGGAAGGTGGAATGAGTTATGTATGAATGAGTGCACGCAACGTACATTTCTCGATTTATGTTTATATAGATAGTTAATGACTCTCATTGAAATATTGTAAGAAGCTTTCTAATTGTTCTCTTTACCTTTTCTTATATCTAAAGCCTTGTACGACCTCGCGACTCTCAAGAAAAAGGTGAAGGAAAAGGAGGATAAGAAGAAAAAGAAGGTGAAGGTTATTAAATCTGAGGGGGAAGACTTGGCTGACTCTTTTGGCAATGCAGATGGAATCCCACCGATGCCTCAGGATCTTTCCCCCATCCCTCTGTCATCTGTCAAAGAGGAGTAAGTGCTGCAGAGGGCCCTGAACACCTTGCACAGGTGGAGGGAGCAGCAGATGTTACAGCTCAGATTTTTGTGGGACTGTTGCAGGCTGTGTTTTTGTGCAGCTTGGGATGTGTGAAATGTGTGGTGTTCATCTTTGGATATGAAGGTGAATGTTTACTCAGAGAATTTAGTCTGCTTGTGTTCTCTTTCATTTGAAGACCTCTTGAAGACATGAAACCATGCCTTGAAATAAATGAAATATCATCCAGCTTCTTTTTCCTTCTTTTGGAGATACTGTTTCTGGAAGGACCTGCTACTCTCTCGGTGGTAAGGAACCCCCCAGTTATCTAAGAATCTTTGCAGGAAGGAACATTGAAGGATAGAGGGGTTTATAGCTATGTAATAGCGATTTTTCTCCAGAGTTGTCTTGCTGTAAATTATATTAATATGTAGATTACATATTAAAGAAATTAAACCATATGGGAGTGCTACCACATTCTGTTTTTAACACGTTTCATGAATTTAATCAGTTGAATCCGTAAGTCGTTCCATACCCATTCTATAGATCATGCTTAGATATACTCTGTCTATTAAGGGCAGAGATGGGGAAGTGTTTGTTTAAAATACCACGTTACAGTTACTTGAAAAGGTTGGGTCATTTTTTTACATACATAAACATCTTTCTGTCTCCTGAATGTGTTTAGCTGCTTTGTTTTCTGTGGAAACAGTCACAGTTTAAAGCGTGAGGTCATTAATGAAATATTTCCTTTTCCTGTTCAGCTTGAAGATAAAGTTCTCGACTGGCAATCTTCTCATGCCAGTGCACTAAATAACTGGTTCTCATTTGCCCCTAACTGGTCTGAACTGGTTTTACCTGCCTTGCAGTACTTGGCAGGTGACAGCAGAGGTAAGAATAGCTGTTAAAAATACTAATGATGCTTGTTCTTCTGTTCCAATCAGTGCTGGTTTATATTATAGCTCAAATAAACTTTTAATTCATCACCACAATGAATCATTGTATTTCTGATAAGCTTTATAACTTGCATGTCCTGATTGTGGTTGGCTTGTTTTGCATGTGGATAGTAGATAAGCCCCTGCTTGATTCCCAAGCATGTGAAAATGTGTGTGAAATTGCCTCTAGATAGACACTTTCTCCTGTTCAGATCGTGGCTTCAGGCAGGGTGTTTGAAGCTGGAAGGGATTAGTTTCTTCCTCCACGGTGTGAAGTCATTGTGTTTGTTTTTGGAGATGATAAAAAACTAGATAATGCCCTGAGCAATCCACTGCAACATGGAGTTGGCCCAACTTGGACCAGCTGAGTTTCAGGCCTTCCTTTCAAACTAAATTATTCTGTGGTTTTGATTTGCTTAGTGGGAAGTTTTAAAGGCAGGGACAGAGTAGATTGCAGTGGCCTTGCAGCATGTTTTCCATAATGCTGGTGAATGCTGTTTGCTTCCCATGAGCCCAGGAATAGTCACTCACAGTAACAGCCTGAATAGACACTCACAGCATGAACAGGCTCTCAGCTGACAGCCTGTTGATGGAAAGCTTATTATTCTGTTCTGTTCTTTCCTTGTGCTTGCCCTCATACTCTGAAATGCTCACCTTCCCTTTGGGCAAGGATAAATTTAGAGATGCACTTACATAATCACTTCAAATGCTCTGTCATTGTGAGCCCAACTCGACCGTTTGCATTACCGCAGCAGGATGTTGGGCTTGGACCATTGGCTGATGTCTCTGATATGCACATTTTTCATTGTAGATGCTCCTTTTGTTGAATTCAAGGAAAAAACTCAGCAGTGGAAATTGGTTGGTGAGTACCTGGTGCTCTGCTATGGTTTCTGCTATGGCAAAGGTTTGTTATTTTCTGTAGGACTTTACTTTTCAGAGTGCTGAAGCCTGCAGAGAAGCACAAGCAGAGCTGTTAATTCCATGGTTAGGCCTTTTCTTTTCTTTTAGCTGAGCTAAAATATGTTTTGGTTTCGAGGTTTTCATAAGACGTCAGTATCAGCAGCAGACAGATCATAAATGAGCGAAGGCACTGGGCTGTATTTCTTCATGTTGCTGACTTAAATATGTTTGTCACCTTTCAAATTGGTCTGAACACCTTCATATTTTCCCTCCTGTAGAGCGTACCTTCTGACTATTCAGAGTAATTATTCATTATTACAATTACAAATTAATTAAGCTTCTCTGTGGAGCAAACTGATACTATTCCAATTCTTAAAAGTGGGCACCAAAGAGCAAACTGACAATCAAGATGCCCAGGCTCATACTGACTGAATTACAGATGTCTTATGTTTATGTTCATTCCTTTAGCTACTAGGCAGAGCTTTTCATTCTTAACTATAGTGATTCTAGTGGTCATATTTGGAGGCCTAAACTGGCAGAGATTTGGAGTCAGGAATATATTCCTCTGGTTCCTCCCCTAATTTAGGTGGAGGTTTTGTAGGCACGTGTTTCTGCTCATGGACTCAGTGACTGGGATTACTTTGGAGAGTGGGAACCAGGTGTCTGTGTCTCAAACAGCATCTTGCCTGCTGTACCAGGAGTTGAAGCTTCATCCTTTGTACTAACACAGGAGAATCACTGGGGTTTAGTACTTTCCTAAGCCTGGATGTGTTCAAGTGTTGCAACTGGAGCATCTGTGACTGGTCATGCACTGAGGAGGAAAAGGAGCAGGAGATGACTGGGAGGTACAAGCAATTGGCTTTGCAACAAATAAGACTTCTATTTCTAATTTTTCCTGATTTCTTACTAGGTACATACCAAGATCATGAGAAGGAATTGGCAGCACTCTTTCACCTCTGGTTGGAGACTAAAGACCAGACTTTCTTCAAAGTGAGTCAGACAAAAATCACCTCCTAGCAGCACAAAACCTTACTGAGTTCTCTCCAACACTGACATTTCTCTCTTTCTCTGTAGGAAAATGAAGACAGCTCTGATGCCATGCCACTGCCCAGAGTGTAAGTGTATAACACTCCTTGAAAGCTTTGGCAGTGCTGCTGAAGCTGGGAGGTTTGGTCCTTGCACCTCTGGATCTTAAAATAAAACAATATTACATCATGGATCAGGAGGAAACTTGATAGATTGATTTTATAAATGCAATAACTGGATTTCATAAAGTCAACTGATTTTCTCCAGCTTTGTATAGATTATCAAACAAAGCTGTAATCTACCTTAGGTCCTGATAATGGGATTATTTACAGTCCTTGCTTGCCTTCAGGTGCATATTTTAAGATCTCTGCAGGGCTTGCTTTATGTTACCATAAATGCTTCCAGAATTTGTTCAGAGGAATTTGGAGAAGGATGAGATGACTAATCCTTTGGGATGTCTTTAGGGCTGTTGTGGGCTTGTTGTGCTCAGAGCTGATGATGCCCTTTGTTTCAGAAGGACTGACTATGTAGTCCGGCCTAGCACTGGAGAGGAGAAACGGGTGTTTCAGGAGCAGGTAAGAAGTGAATCTTCTTAATTTTAAAGGCACATGTTGAAACAGTTGTCCACTAAAACAGGAGAATTTGTGTGGGATGGCAGTTTTATACTCTACACAGACTTGTTAATATGAAGAACTAGTATTTTTCTTCTACCTTGAAGTTGGTATCTTGGCCTTACATAAAACTTGATGACAATGTAGCTGCTTCAAAACCAGTATTTCCAGTGGGTATTGGGCAAAATTAATTGAAATTGGTGGTGTCAGTTGGTAGTGCCAATATTTCTGTCTTTTTTTCCATCCCCCAGCATAGGAGGATGACTTGTTTCTCTTTTTTTGGGCATGTATGAGTACAAGCAGAAAATAAGTGTCAATAAGTACACCCATACATTGAGTTAGCTTGTTTGCAGTAGATGCAAGTGGGAATTACAAGGTAAACACATGATGGGGGTTCTTTAAATTTTACTGGAGTAGAGGAGAAGGGGGGCAGAAGGCATATCTCTTGTATCTCTGGCACCTCTAATCTGAGCAACTGCTTGACAATAAACCTACTGTATTGCACCTGCACACCTTGGTTAGGGGGTGCTCAGTATTTTGTTTGAAGTAGTTTGTGCTTTTCTTGATCCAAAACAAGTTTATACAGCAGTATTTGAGCCTTAAATTTAAAAAAGCTTTCTCTAGAGAATGGTAACAAGTATATAAGGCTGTTGTGTATGTCGCCTGCTAAACTGAGTGCTCTTGTCCTCCACCCAGGAGCGTTACCGTTACAGCCAACCCCACAAAGCCTTCACCTTCCGCATGCATGGCTTTGAGTCAGTTGTTGGTCCTGTGAAGGGGGTGTTTGACAAGGAAACCTCCTTAAACAAAGCTCGAGAACATTCTCTCCTGCGCTCAGACAGACCAGCATATGTCACCATCCTGTCCCTTGGTAAGGTGATGGCCAAAAATTTACTTTAAATAAGAAAAATATCCCCCCGACCCTCTGAACAATGACTTAAGGAATCTAAATTGGTGTTGAGTGCTGTTACTCAAGTTTATCACTCCTAGCACAAAGCTGGCACAGTTGATGTATTTTAAAATAGTCCTTTATAACCTCTCATATTTCTGAGGGATTTTAGGAACTAGATTTTAGTGATCAAGTAGGCACTGTGAGAGCAGGGGGAATAAAGCAATCCCAAAATGCACCTGCTGGAGGACCTGAGTACAGCTGCCTACTTACGACTGGAAGTTTAAGCTCTGGCTTTGTGTTCCAGTTCGTGATGCTGCTGCTCGCCTTCCTAATGGAGAAGGAACTCGTGCTGAAATCTGTGAGCTGCTCAAAGATTCCCAGTTCCTAGCTCCAGATGTCACCAGTGCTCAGGTAAGTTGGATGACATGTCTGGCCTCGGATTCTCCTAAAAATACACTGCACAGACCCAGGCAGCATTCAAGGTCTAAGTCCCAATAATTTTATGCTGCTCTGATTAGCAGAAGAGAACTGCGTACCACTCTGAGCTGCTGCAAATCTCCACCAAACTCTGGATGATGAAAAAACAGCTAGAAAAACCACAGAATTAACACTCTTTCACAGAGCTGCTCACATTTTAGATTCAGTCCATTTTCCAAGCTTTTAGCTTTGGTGGAAGCTCCATTTAATGCAAGATGACAAACAGCATCCTGTGCTGCAACATCTGCTCTCAGCTGGACCTAACACTGCTCACAGCTTACACAGGTTTTCTGCCAAATAGGATGGCTTTTTTATTCATGAATTTTGACCAGCCCAGCCAGAGACATCTTGTAATGTGTGAATTCTGAACTTCCAGGTTAACACTGTTGTCAGTGGTGCTTTGGATCGACTGCATTATGAGAAAGATCCCTGTGTGAAATACGACATTGGGCGCAAGTTGTGGATCTACCTGCACCGAGACAGGAGTGAGGAAGAGTTTGGTAAGCCTTGGGGATCCCATAAGAATTGAAAATGTTTATAACCAGTCTTGTAGAGCAGTGTGACACTTTGAAGTGTCTGTTTGAAAAACAATATCCCATGTAGAAGGTGTATGTTCATTCACAACTTCTTATGTCTTGTTGTCAACCTTTTTGACTAATTTTACTTGGTATTTTTCTTTGCATTATTACAAGGCTGTGTAATTCCTTGTCTGAAGATGAGTTTACAGGTCTGATTTAGCCTCCTCCTTAAATCAGTTTGCTTGTGTTCAGGAGCTCTAACCATTAATTTGTCCTTGCAGAACGGATCCATCATGCTCAAGCTGCTGCAGCAAAGGCCAAGAAAGCTCTTCAGAAGCCAAAACCTCCAGCTAAAATGGTAGATTTCTTTGCTCAGGTTTGCACAGCTGCTTTGGGGACTGGGAAGGAGATTGGGCTCAAATTAATCCATAAATTCTGCATCCATAGTGGGTGATGAAAATTCCCACATTTGAGTTAGCAGTTCATGATGTATATGAATGTCTGTCACCAGTGCACAAAATCAAGAGGGAAAGAGGGAACTTCTCCCCTCAGCTTCCACTGCTATCCTTGTTAACTCAGCAGAAAGGGCAATGGAATTCATTTTGCTCCCTATCGTAGGGGTGGTCTTTCAGATCTAGTTTTGAGGTTAATATGCAGCAGAGTGTATGGAACACACACTCTCCCTTGCTGTGCTGGAGCTGCCAGGGTCTGGATATCTTTTTGTTGTTACTGATAGCAAATCTCTCTAAAGTCCTTTCTGCTGGCACATTAACCAAGGTGGAAATCTGAATGTTTGTCACAGCTGAGGTGCACTTTTCCCTGAGAACAGGAGCAGCCAAACACCCCAAGTGATCCATGACTGCAGGTGGGGAAGGCAGTCAGCCACGTTTGATTTCCTCATTCACAGCCATACAGAACTCATGTTAAAGTGCTGAGCCCACTCCAGGGTGCAGCAGTACCAGTTTTTGAGACACTGGCCGTGGTTCCTTTGCAGAAGTCGAGCAGCAAGGAGAGTGCTGTGAAAGCCCTTCCCAGCAGCACAGCAGAGCCCAGCCAGCTGAGCCTCAGTGACTCCAGCATGCCACCAACTCCCGTGACCCCTGTGACACCAACTGCACCAGCATTGCCACCAACACCCATTTCACCCCCTCCAGTGTCTGCAGTCAGCAAGAGTGTATCCAGTGCTGGGGCAGAGCCAGCAAAACCCAGCCAGAGGTACTGCTTCTGTCTCCTACATCACTTGGGAACGTTGGTGGTTGTTTTTCAGTAAATTTCAAAATTGTGTAATTCAGTTATGAGGGAGCTGGGTGGGGCTCAGCCTGGAGAAAAGGAGGCTCAGGGGGGACCTTCTCGCTCTCTGCAACCCCGTGACAGGAGGGAGGAGCCGGGGGGCGTCAGGCTCTGCTCCCAGGGAACAAGGGACAGGATGAGAGAGAATGGCCCCAGGTTGTGCCAGGGGAGGTTCAAGTTGGACATCAGGAGGAATTTCTTCACTGAAAGGGTAGTCAGGCACTGAAGGGGGCTGCCCAGGGAGGTGGTGGAGTCCCCGTCCCTGGAGGTGTCCAAGGAATGGCTGGACGTGGCACTCAGTGCTCTGGGCTGGGTGACAAGGTGGGGATCAGGCAAAGGTTGGACTCTATGATCTCAGAGGTCTTTTCCAACCTAAATGATTCTGTGAATTTCCTACATTTCTTTGCTGACCTCGTGCCTCTCTCGTCCACAGTGTCCTTCTGGTATCGTCCCCCACCATGCCACAGCTGGGCACGTTGCTCTCCACAGCTCAGAGCTCTCAGGCACAACCGGGGCCGGCACCGCCCGCCCCACGCGTGGTGGGTCACGGAGGCTCCTCGGGGCTGCCACAGGTGCGGGTGGTCACTGCCCAGTCCAGCCTCCCAGCAGTGTCCCAGCAGGCCCCAGTGGTGACTCAGCAGCAGCAGCAGCAGCCCACGTCAGTGCCTCAAATCCGCGTTCCAGCTACAGCCACACAAACCAAAGTGCTCCCTCAGGTGAGTTGGAAGTGGTGGAGGAGCTCTGACATCTAATCTGACTTCTTCTGATGTTCTGATGTGGTGCACAGGGATTCTGTGCACACTTGGAGCATGCAGTAACTGCAGAGCAAGAGCACAGAAACAGTTTTACATAAATAATATTGTTCAGTGCTCTGTTTTTCACCCCTCTGCCTGTTTATTTGACATCATTAAATTGTGCACTACACAGAAAGTCCATAGAACTTAGAATCACAGAATCGTTAAGATTGGAAAAGACCTCCAAGATCACCAAGTCCAACCATCAACGCAGCACTACCTCCATGTTCACCACTAAACCATGTCTTCAAGTGCCACATCCACATGTTTTTTTGAACACTTCCAGTGGTGGTGACTTCACCACTGCCCTGGGCAGCCCATTCCCAATGCTTTACAATCCTTTCTGTGAAAAAATTTTTCCTAATATCCAACCGAAACCTCCCCAGTGCAACTTGAGGCCAATTCCTATGGTCCTGTCACTTGTTACTTGGGAGAAGAGCACAGCCCCCACCTCACTACAACCTGCTTTCAGATAGTTGTAGAAAGTAGTAAGGTCTCCCTGAATTTGCAAGCTGAGGCACAATACAAAAAAGAATTACTAGACTGTTCACAGTGCGTTATTCTGCTCATAGTCTTCCTCCTTGTCTTCTGTAGGCTGTGATGACTCTGCCAGTAAAAGCTCAGAGCAGCCCTGTGCAGGTGCAGAGAGCAGGAGGCTCTGTGGCAGGACAGGCAGGTCTCACTGTGACAGGGCTGCCTGCAGCCCCCAGTCCTGCTGTAAAGCCAGTGACCAGCTCCCCGGGCAGTTCTGCTGCCAGCACCTCCTCCACCACTGTCATCCAGAATGTGGCTGGCCAGAACATCATCAAGCAGGTGAGAGGGAGGGAGAGACAAGGAATTGGACTCCACAACTCCGTTGTTGCCTGTTTGTTCGGACAGACGTGTTATGCAGGTGTGAGCACGGGTGTGAGCTGGAGTGGCGTGTGAGTTATGGACTGTGCAGATTTAGGCATTGCTGGTTGGTTGTGTTTGAGCCCTGTTTCCATGTACAGGTGAAAGATGTGTTTGTAGAGGTTCTTTAGTGATCTCTCATTCGTCTTGCTTGGAAAAGAAACCAGCACCACGGTATTTCCTATTTTATGTGAGTTTGGGAATGCCATCTGATACACAACCAGAACTGTTTTCAGTAGTGTACTGCGTGCCAGCATCACTCCACCCTGATTCTAATGTGAGCAAACATCATCCTGTTGGGAAGTTCTGCTTTGAGTGTGCCTTGGGCTGTGTCCTGGTTTGACAGAGCCGTTTCTCTGCTCTCTCCCAGGTGGCTATTACAGGACAACTTGGCATGAAGGCCCAGGCTGGCGGTGGCATCCCGCTCACAGCGACCAACTTCCGCATCCAGGGGAAGGACGTGCTGCGCCTGCCCCCGTCCTCCATCACCACGGATGCCAAGGGGCAGACGGTGCTGCGCATCACCCCGGACATGATGGCCACCCTGGCCAAGTCCCAGGTCACTACTGTCAAACTCACCCAGGACCTCTTCACAGCAGCAGCGGGGAGCAGTGCTGGTGGGAAAGGCATCTCTGCCACTTTGCACGTGACATCCAACCCTGTGCAGACTGCTGACTCTCCAGCCAAGACCAGCACGGCCACTCCTGCCTCCTCCAGCCCAGCTGGGAGCACGGTGGTTAAAGTGACTCCTGACCTAAAGACTGCAGAGCCAGCAAGCTCTGCTTTCCGCCTGATGCCTGCCCTGGGCATGGCTGTGGCAGAGCAGAAGGGCAAAGCCATAACCACGGTGGCATCCACAGAGGCCAAGCCGGCTGCCACAATAAGGATCGTGCAGGGGCTGGGGGTGATGCCCCCCAAGGCTGGGCAGACCATCACTGTAGCTACTCACGCCAAGTCCTCATCCTCAGCAGTAAGCGTTGCTGGCACAGCCCACACCTCAGCTGTGTCCCTGCCCACTGTGAGTGCCACAGTGTCCAAGGCAGTGGCAGTGGCCTCGGGAGCTGCAGGGACCCCCATCACCCTCGGCACAGGAGCCACGGCCGTGCGGCAGGTCCCTGTCAGCACCACTGTGGTGTCCACGTCCCAGGCAGTGAGTAATGCTGGGCTTTCACTGGGGGTGGGAGGCAAAGGGGAGCACCAAAATGTATTGATGGTGTATGGCCAAAAACTTCTCTTTACATCCACAAAGGCTCAAATTAAGTATGTTAGAGTCATGGAATGGTTTGGGTTGGCAGGGACCTTAAATCTTGTCTCGTTCCTGCCATGGGCAGGGACACCTTCCACTAGACCAGGTTACTCCAAGCCCTGTCCACCCTGTCCTTAAACATTCCCAGGGATGGGGCAGCCACAACTTGTGTTCTGGATGTGGGTCTGCAACTCATTTCATGGTCTTGGAGTTGTAGCTAAATGCCCCAGAAAAGTCAGATACAGCTTCTCTTATCCCCTCTTTCAAGTGAATGAAATAAACTTTGTGTATCTAAAGTTCTGCCTCATGCAGCTCAGTGTCTTGCCTCAAACCTTGGGAATAATTTCCCTTGGAATGGTGTCACAGAATACTCAGAACTAGAAGTGCTTGTATTGACTTTTTTACCGATGTCCTCCTTTAATGCCCAAAGCTGAAGGCACCATAAACTGTATCATGGTAGTTACATAAGCTAAATGACACTATGATAGTTTACTAAGGATAAAAATCATGGATACTGTAGTGCAAAGATGATGTTGGTTTTCAGGGCTCGGGCAGCTGTGAAGTGAATGAAATAGAGGTGAATTTTAATGAGCCTGAAAAGGAGCACAGATTTCATCAGCAAAGCTGCTGTTGGTTTGCACTCCCAGGGCTCCCACTAAGCATCTGAGTGGTAATTGTGTGTTGTCAGGCAGTTTCTCTGCCGAACTCCCTGTGGCTCCTCATGTGTCTTCAACTTCCCCAGGGTAAACTGCCAGCCCGGATAACGGTGCCTCTGTCGGTGATCAGCCAGCCAGTGAAAGGCAAGAGTGTGGTGACTGCCCCCATCATCAAGGGCAACCTCGGAGCCAAGTGAGTGCTTTGCATCCCATAGTTCTGCTTTAGAGGTAGGCTGGGGAAGGTCTGTGTTCAGTAGGTTCCTGGGGAGCGAGCAAGCAGAGGGTGGAATAGAATTGCTGTCTGTAATAGGTCCATTAGCTGCAAGAAACTGAGTATGGTGTCTGTAATGAGATTATAGTCTTTATTTAGGTACCCTGAGATGTAGGTTCTAGCAAGTACACCAAAGAAAAACATTCTTTGCTTTGAAACCAGCTGTTAGATTAGTTCTGTGGGTTTGAGCAAGAATTAACCCAGGGACACACTGGAAAACGTATATAATCTGAAACCATCTCTCCATTCAGGAGGCATGGGAAGTGTTAACTGCCTCGGTGAAAATTCCTCTGGCATTCAGATGTCAAAGTCTTCTTGTTTATTCTTCCATGAATTCTGATAGTGTCTCCCTTAGTTAATATTTCAAGGCAGAACAGTGAGTGCTTAGCTGTTTTCTGCATTGAGAAGGGTTCAGGTCGGATCAGACTAACCCAGTGATATGTTCAGTCCAGAGTCAGAGGTGTCATTCGTGTGATAAATTGTTTCTCTATCAATGATAAATATTGGCATAAATTTGTCACTTCTGTATTTGCCGCTTTTGTGGGGGGAAAAACCCCCACTACTTAAAATCATTAGTAAATTAGGCAAGAACTGTGATCTCCTAGCAACTGCAGAACAGTTTGTGAGCCTGCTGTGCTGTTTACTAACCTTTCAACAATCATTTTTCCTTAGCATCAGTGGGTTAGGTAGAAATATCATCCTGACTACAATGCCAGCAGGGACTAAACTGATCGCTGGGAACAAGCCTGTGAGTTTTCTGACTGCACAGCAACTACAGCAGCTGCAGCAGCAAGGCCAGGCCACACAGGTAAGGGCACCTAGAATGATCATTTTATTTGCTTTGTTATGAGGGCTTTACACTTGATACATGGGGTTCCAGCAGAAGAACAGGCACACAGCTTGGCACATGAAGTCCATCATTACCTATTTGTTTCCTCCATCCAAATAAAGGTTTTAAATGTTTTTGAAGCATTGATAGTATTGTAAAACCAAAAATCCTGTCAGGATTTTTCTCTACACTCAACACTTTTCATAGTGCTTTGTGCTTTGGCTTCTGTGGGTCACTGTTTCTTGAAGAAAACACATCACTGCTATGCTAATCCATCCTTCTATCTGGAAAAGTAGTGTTCAGTAATTCCAAAGAATTAATCTGCATTGAGAGCTGCTAGTAACAAGTCTGTAGATCCAGTGGATCCAAGTCCTTCTGAAAACTTGTAAAAGCAGTTGACCTGTAGATTTTTATTCAAACTAGTTTTTAAGTCTTCCCCTCTAATATGGAAATCTCTTGCCACCATCCCTTGTGGACAGTGGATGGAATGATCTTGTGACAGATTCTGTTCCTGAGGTGTTTTAGTGCTTGGTCTTATTCATACAATGGAGTTTTTGTTGGCAGCAGAAGCAGATCATTTACCAGAGCATGATGCACGTGCCGCCATTGTGTCACTATGTTGTTCTTGACACGAGTTGAGTTTTTGCTTTCTATTTCAAACAGGTGCGAATTCAAACAGTTCCAGCCTCCCATCTCCAGCAGGGAACAGTCTCTGGCTCTACTAAAGCAGTTTCCACTGTGGTTGTGACAACAGCTCCGTCTCCAAAGCAGACCCAGGATCAGCTGTGAACACTGGTCTGAACATGAATCACTTTCTGAGAACCTCCCCGAGCCCGTTGTCCTCCATCCATCCAACCACAGTCATGGATAGGGATTGGACTGGGCTCTCTGTCCCGTGCTTGTCTGGGCTCAGCACTGGGACGTCTGGGTAGAAATTCCACAGAAAAAGATGCTGTACCTGCAATTCAGTCCAGATGTGTAAAGCCAGATTCTGTGGCATGAAGAAATGTCTTCCTGATCTTTGTTCCCATCCAAAGGGCTTTTGGCCAATACTTTTTCTGTGCATTTGGGTTGTAGACAAATCAGTTGCCTCTGGTCTTCCTTAAGCAGGGAAACTCACTTGGGAGGGGTGATTCAGTGGCTTCTCAAAGCCATGGAGAAGATGCCTCCTTTTGCTGGAGTCTGGCTGTCTCTGCTGTTATCAAGTGACTTACGGTGGCTTGGACATCAGAGTTTGTAACATTACCTGGACGTAGATCCCTGACACGTTCAGTGTCCTATTTATAGACCTTTAAATCCCTCTCCCCTCTCTCTGACCTCAGACTCCTGAACAGCTCCCACATCCACATCAGGTTTCTGTCCAAGGCAGGATGAGAGTCAAGATGGTTTTTGCTGTAACAAAGTGAGTGACCATGGTGGGGAGAGGGAAAGGAGGAGGAGGCTGTTGTGTGAACAAGTCTGCCAGCAAATGGGAATGTAGCAGAAAGGAATGTTCACCAGAAAGATCCTCTTTTCCTCAACAAATAAACCCAGTGGAAGCAAACTGCAGTTTATTTTAAAAGTTTGGAATATGTTTTCAAATACACCTAAACTGTTGTCTCTTGGATTCTGAAGAAATACTTTAACCGGTGACCCCCACCTTTAGTTTTGTTTTTACCCTTCCAATTTTATCTTTGTAAATTTGTTTGAATTTTGCACATAACAGAGATGAATTTGTGACTGTTCTGACATGACCTTGAAGATGTGTTGGACCAGGAGAAGAATAAAAATGTAGAAAGCCTCACAGATCTTTGCCATCTTCTTTCAGTTCTGTGCAGCACATTTTGTGTACAGTCATTGTCCAGCTTGCCATTGGCTAAAAGATTGTCCATCTTTTGGTAAGATGGTTCTTTATAACCTGGTTTCTCTTGTAGTTTTCTTTTTGAAGATGTGGTTTGCTCCACAAGAAGTGTCTGGGTGTAAATATTGGGTAAGCAGGACACATGAGGTCAGCATGTGAAAGCAAGCACTGGAATTATGGTTTATATGCTTCAGGGACAGAATGTGGAATGGTAAAGATTTTCTGAGCAGCTGTCCTGCTTTGTCAGGTTTTGTACCTGTTTTGTACATTCAGGGAGCCACCAGAAAGTGGTTTGGGAGGGAGGTGGGGATGTTCTTAAGTCCTTCTAGTTGGGAAGTTAAATTAAGAAATTAAAGAGAAAAGCAACTTCCTAGTATTGCTTATGTGAAAAAGCCTCTAAATTCAAAATCAAGATAATCCTGCTACATTCTGTTCATATTAACCTACAATCAAGTGCTGAAAAATGGTCACAGGGTGAAGTCCCTTCAATTTCTGTCAATCCTCCTGTATTTCTCACGGGACACAGGAGGCTTTGGCAGAATTAAGTTTAACAAAACAAGAAACCTGCATCTAATCCCAGGAGTTTAGTGTGTCTCAGGTGGTTGCTGCTGCTTTGAAGAGTCTTGCTGTTGATCATCACCATCCTGCTTTTGCTAAACTGGTTGCCAACAAGAACATTTATTGCTGCTTCTCTTAGGTCCCTTCTCTTCACTTTTGAAGTCTGATTTTTGGGGAAAGAGCATCAGGCTCTGATGCTTCTGATTTTGAATGGCCAGATGCTGGGTTAGGTAGGATGTGTTTGCTCCCAACTTTCAAGAGCAAAGTACAGCCTGTCATGGTTCAGCTGCCACCCGTCTGCTGAGCTGAAAAACAACCTGGTTGAAAAATAACCCTTCAACTACTGCAAGTCAAGAGCCCTTGTTTTTAATACATAACTTTTAACTCTTATACAGGAGGCTGAAGGGCAGAGAGGGGCTCCAGTGGTTTGGGCAGGGACTGACTAAGGGGATATTTAAGCTGAACTGTGTTCCAGGTAGTGTTTGCTCCTCTGTCCTCTTGCTCTGGAGCCTGAAAGCCATCCTGGAGGAAGAGCTGCAAGGGCAGCATGAAGGGAAAGAGGGCTTGGAGAAAGTATTGCACTGCCATTACCCATTTTCCATCTGTCTTGCCTGAAACTAAAGGGCTTATCAGCCTGATGCATCTTTGCCATTACCGTTTTTAACTGAAAAAAGAAGTACAGCCTGTTTTTGCCATAGTGAGATGTTCCAGTTATCCAAGAGTCTTATTTCCTAAAACGTGAGGATTAGATGTTTATTTCTACCAAGAGGATGTTGTGTAAGCCCTGCTTAACAAGCGCTGAGCACGCTACACAAACAGCTACAGGCCACTTAAAACCTTTCAAACCCTTATTCTGACAACTGCTCTGTTTTATTTAAACCATGGTGAAAACCTGTATTTATGAACCTCAGTAGGACACCCTCATAACCCAGTCAACGCACCTAGAGGTTACCTCAAGCGTTCCTTCAAATGAATGGTTAACTGGACATCAACCTGCATGTTTTAGCAGGTGATTTTTGCTTTCCAAATACCTTGGAAAACACTGGCATAGCTTTCAGTAAACACAAAACCTTGTTACTTGTTTTTCACGTGGTTTAATGCTGATTTATCTCAGTCTGAGGTTTACTTGAGTCCTAGTTATCTGGGTGGATCAGATGTGTGTAGATCCAGAGGAGGGATCATCTTTCTTAACTGGAATCATCTTTCTTAACTGGTGCTTTGAACTTCTCAACAGATAAATCTGCATTTCTCACCCTACACTGCATTTGCAGCTGCTGATCCCTGCAGAAGTCAATTCAATCCAGCTCCCCCCTGTTCCTGCAGGTGGATCACTCTCTGGGTATAACCACTTTGTCTTGTGGACTATAGAATGAATTCTGCATGAGTAGTTCAAATTGTGGTAATTAATGATTTAATTTAGGGATGACACAGCATCTGTCAAGTGACCCCTTCAATGTGGATTACGTCACTTGAACCTGATTAATCTTGTACATGGCATCCTGCACTGAGGCCTGAAAACTGCTACATAGAGGTAAATATTTTAAGAACCAATTTGTTTCCTTATGTCTAGAGGTATTCACCAAACCAACCTGGTGAGCCTTTGCATCCATATCTTCTAATGTTATTTTTTTCTCACTGTCCTCCAGTTTGCAACACCTGGAGCAAAATAACTCACCTGCCAGGACCAAAATTCTTATTTATCATATATGAAAATAATTGAAAGAAAACAATCTAATTCCCAAAAGCCCTGCTGTTTGTGTTACTTAAGAGTCAAAATCTGTAAATTAGAAAATGGGATGGACCTGCACCATGTATTTCAAGAGGGAAAAGAAAAAAAGCCTTAAATTCTGCTCTAATTAAAGGGGCAAAGGGTGTCACCTCCAAGATGTAACTTGACAGAAAGCGCTACCACCTCCTTGAAAGATTTCTTAACAATAGTTTTTGTTTGATTGTTTGTTTGTTTTTATCAAAACTGCTGTGTCCATGAAACACAGTAAATTACCAGTTCTGAAGGGAAGTGAAAAAGAAAGGAAACTTCCAATTGGCATAGGCCAATGAGGAAGGAAATAAAGTAAAATTTGACTGGGCATCTCAATATGTTGGTGTTTAACTGCCTTTTGAGACATTATTAGTGAGCAAAAACTGTCAGTAGTTAAAAAGTAAACAAAAAATTGTTAAGAAAAACTGGATTCTCATAGGGTACTTTTCCCATTAAAGTTGTTTTATCTGTGCCTTGCATTAATTTTGACAGCAAATGAGAACACTTTCCAGAAGCAGAAGTGTGCTGGTCCTTCAGAGCTCCAGGATCAGGAGTTCCACAAGGACACTTAAAGAAGGAGCAGAACGTGGCAATAAAATCCAGGCGGAGCATCACTAAGTGGCTGTATTGACCCAGAGCAAGGTGGTCAAAGCCTGGAAAACAGAACGTCATTTTGTTCTACCTGTGTTCTGATACTTCTTGAAGTCTTAACACGGACCTGCAAAGGTCCTGGCAGTGTTTGAAACCTCGTGAATGGCTTTAACGAGTTTGTGTGTCATTCTGAATTAATTTTTACAACAACGGAAGATTTTTCATTTTGTGCTCAGGAAAGCAGTGGCTGCTTGGTATTTACACAACATGCATAGAAAAATGTGCTGCTATACACAGCATATCATATATATCATATACATATCATATGCTTGATTACTCAAAAAAAAAAATTGGTATTTGCACTGAGGACTTTTAAAGTGCTTAAGCAAGTTGCTTTTAAGTCAGGCTGTGGTGAGAATTGTTCCTGTGTGCTCAGTTATACAGGGAAATTATGGGTCTGAGACAGTCACAAGCCCTCGAGTCACTGCAGCTTTATGAATTACTGACCTCCCTTTGCACTGCTTTGTTTGTGTCAGGAAATAAGTTCTGTTTCGTGGCTGGGGTGGCCTGAGTAGCTCAATGACAAGCAATAACCTCATAAATTGTTGTATTGAGGTTTGCTTCTGTCAGTGTTACTGTACTAAGGGTGACTTCCAACTTGAGTTGGCCCCTGAAATGGCTCAGAAAGGGTTTTAAAGCTGGTGCTGGTGAAAAACAGAGAGTTATCTTGCTAAAATGAAGTTATCTTCTCTGTCAGTTTTAGCATTGCAATGTCATGTGCCGCCTCTGTAGGAAACTGGTACTTTACCAAAAATCAAAAACTTGACTGTATTGTTGTTCCAACCTGTGCTGGGACAGCTGGGAGTGGGAAGGTGTTAATGTGCAAAGCTCAGGACTTCTCCAAAAGTCCAAAGTGTTTAGTTGGCACAAAATTAGCACTTTCTTCCTTTGAAGGGCAGCTCAAAAGCTTTGCCTGTGTTTTTAGGCATCTGTGAGCAGGAGAGTCCCGGTCAGAGGGAGGAGTCCTTTGTAATTAGAATGTGAGTTAGTGCTGGCTGATAGGATTTATTCCCTTTTAATTTTTCAACTTGTGTTGTGGAGGTGAGTCAAAGTGATGTGGGCAGCGTGAAAGGATCTGTTCAGAGCGAGCAAACCCAGGAACTCCTTCCAGTGGGAATAAAGTTTTCACTGACTATGTCCACCCACCTGGATTTTAACAGTTTTGTTGAGAATTACAGAGTTTGTATTAGGGCTGGATTTAACCCCTGTTTACGTTCTTCCTGCTTTTCTGTGCTCTGAGACAAGCATAAGAGAGAGCAACAACTAATGGGTGGGAACAGTGGTTCCTAGCTCCTTGATTCTTCAAGGGCAGTGCTCTCTTCCCTCAGGAGTTGGGATGGGCTGCAAGGAGAGGCAGATTTGCCCACATCTCCCTGCCATCTGGGGGAAGGAATCCGAGGGCTCTCCTTCAGCTCATGGACAACCCTTGCCCCACAAGTACTTGGGGGTCAGCGACAAGTGTCTGACATTTGAAGAATTCATCACAGTTTACCAGTTTTTCATGCAGTGAGGAAGATGTAGTTGGGATGTTAGGAAAAGTCACAGAAAGTAAAGATCCCTTAATGATTGTCTTGAGAGGAGCGGAGTTTCCAGACAATTATACCCCGTGATGCTGCTTTTGGGGTGGAAGATGGCCTAGAACAGGTCTGCAAGCCTGACCCAGCCAAGCAGTGTCCTTGTTCCAGCTTGACATTTCCTCCAGGGAGTTCTGGCGCCATCCAGGGGAGCACGGCTTGCTCCTCACCTCTGACATTCTCCTGCTTTAGGTGGATGCATTAACAGCATGTGCAGTGTCACTGTACCCCCCCAGCGTCACTGTCCCGTGCTACTGGGGCAGCTGGAACGTCAGGCAGTTCGTTGTCTGAAAGACAGCAAGAGCTGGACCACAAAACAGCAAAAAACCCCATATTGTACCACATCCCTGGCCCTCTGCACCAACAAAGCGAGGGAAATAAGAGGAATAATAAATGGCAATAAGG